TCTGTGTCTCTGTCTCTCTGTCTCTCTGTCTCTCTGTCTCTCTGTCTCTCTGTCTGTCTGTCTGTCTGTCTGTCTGTCTTGCTTGCTTGCTTGCAAGGCGTTTGGGGGCATGGGGGAGACCCCAGCACCCCTGCGCGCTAGCGCTACGCCAGTGTCCGTTATCTTTGCAGTCGGTGTGAGACAAGCGGGGCGGCACAGGGGCAGAGTGGCAGGAAGTCCCCTAGCCCAACTCACTCGCTACCGCATGCTATGCATCCTGCCTGGTTCTTGCCGCCTGTGCCGAGCCCCTATTTGTGCTGTGCTCCACGCTTTGCCCCCGATATTGTCGGGGGATCAGAGGTGGCTCTGATAGGGTCCCCTTTGCACTGCACAGGAAGAACACAAATCCTTGCCGTACACAGTCACTAAGGTACACTTTGACTCGGGTCCCCTATCGTGTTTTGAAAGTGTGTTCAGCTGCCTGTCTGTCTGTCTGTCTCTGTGTCTCTGTGTCTCTGTGTCTCTGTCTCTCTGTGTCTCTGTCTCTCTGTCTCTCTGTCTCTCTGTCTCCTGTCTGTCTGTCTGTCTGTCTGTCTGTCTGTCTGTCCGTCTGTCTCTGTCTGTCTTTCTTTCGCCAGGGCTACAGACGAGGGTTGCCCCTCGACCGCGCGCTTCAAGCGCCCCCGACTGTTGTGGGGCCTTTGGTGAGAGTAGAAGCAGTGCGACAACGAGGCAACTTGGCATCTGTAACCGGGAGAAAAGCTGATGGGCCCTAAAAGTAGTGGGAAAAGGGAAGATACGTGGCTCAAGTTGCTCTGGGTTCTTCCCAGAAAGTTGTCTGTGCTACTTGTCTGAAGTCCTTGTTCATCTTATCAGAAGGTGGAAACAAGAAAGTAGTAGGGTCAACTTAACAAGTAGGCATAGAGTCTGTCTCTGTCTCTGTCTGTCTCTGTCTGTGTGTCTGTGTGTCTGTGTGTCTGTGTGTCTGTGTGTCTGTGTGTCTGTGTGTGTGTGTGTGTTGTGTTGTGTTGCAGGCGGGCGGGCGGGCGTAAGGGTTTGCGGGCGGGCGGGCGTGCGCCTGCGCATGCAGACCTGCGCGGGCAGTACTCGATGCAGGACGAATTTGAAGCTCCGGCGATGGTCGTAACGAGCCGCCAGCGACGAACGAGGAAAAGATCAAGACCCCAAATTGTGCGCTCGGCTATAGGACATGTCCAAGTGCCTGCACTGAATAGATCTGAGCTTCTCGCGCTTTAGGTCATCCATCGTGAGCCGGGTGGCCACTTCGTGGCTTTTGCCTCCACTGAGTGCCTGCATTCACGTCTAGCGGAATTTAGCAATTATATGCAGTGTTTAGGTCTGCATACTACGGTGCGAGCCGAGTCGCGTCTTCCAGCAGGCGCTCTTTGGCACGGTGAAGCTGCAGCAAGTCGCAGTCGATGGTGTCCTGTCGCTTGGGCATGCTGGGCAAGCACACAGTGTGCTTGCGGCTTTGGCCATCTTGCCAAGCCGTTGTGCTAACGGATCTGGCCCGATCTGTTTATAATTGCGCAGACCACTCCTCCACGACGAACTTGTAGATGTGGACTTCTTGTTTCCTGTGAGCTGCGCGAGCCAGCACGCTTCCGGAAATGACCAGCTGACTGCACTGAAAAAATTGCCGGCGGATGGACTCTGCCCTGTTTAGCTGACAGGGGTGACAGCTCCAAAAGCAGCTCCCAGTGCGTCTGGGAGGGCTGCTGGCCAATTCGATGCACTCGCTGGATGGCTTGCTCCTCGACAGCCTTCGGACCGGCACCCTTCCCCAAACAGAAAGATCCAGCCACACCTTTGCAGCATACTTCAGCTGCTTTAAAAGAATTCAGCTCTGGGCAGGGTTCCACCAAAGATCCAGCAAGTAGAGCCGGGAGGCTGCAACCAAGTTGAGACCTTGGGCTATGCAGCAGGCCGTCGCTTGCCACACTTCTTTCTCCGGATTCTTCTTCCATCGCGCCCTCGCGGCCGGGCAGTGACGTCCGAGGAGGCCACCAGTTCCTCCAGACTTCAAACCTGCCAAAAGCACCTTGGCCCGCGCATGAGAGCACGGAATGCCGCCTGTCTGCTGCAACAGTATCAAGCCAATCCCCAGCACTAAAACTGATTGAGTTCACTTTCCAACTGTCGTGGTAAGACGAAGATTCTACAAGGACATGGTCTCGGCTGCGGGCTCGCGCTCCATTGCCTGCGGCTATGACACTTCAAGCTTAGACTGGACACGATGGCCAGCCCACAACTCTTTCAGAACCCCGCAATTGAAATCATGACAACTTTTAACCCAGAACATCTCAAAGAACGTACGGCCCGAAATGGCTGAAGATGAATCTAGATGATGGAATACACATTGTACAAGTTGAGGAAACAGTCCTACTTAATCATCCTCGTAACAGAGGCATCCACTATCGTCGTCGGCGAGGCAGTAGTCTTCGCTGTCGTCGTAGTGGGAGTGGTAGTATGTAATAGCGGCAGCTTGTTTGTCACTCACTTGACACAAGGCAGCGGTAGTGGTAGTGGAAATAGTGGTAGCTAGTGATGGTAGTAGCGGTTGTGGTGATAGTAGTAGCAGCGGCAATAGCAGCAGCAAGAGTAGTAGTAGTAGTCGTCGTCGTCATCGTCGTCGTTGTAGTAGTAGCAGGAGGAGGAGTAGCAGGAGTAGGAGGAGTAGTAATGGTAGTAGTAGTCGTCGTCGTAGTAGTAGTAGTCGTCAGTAGTTACTAGCATCAATGAGGAAGCATCTCGCATGGCCTGTCACTGCAGGCTCACTCAGCCACGCGACGCGGTGAGCACGTTCCTCTAAGCCTCATTATCCAATTGCTGAAACTCTCACACCTGCGCACCAGAGGAGACAGCGAGGCGGCGACTCAATGACCCATCCTTAGCAGAAGTGAGCACGAAGTCGAGGAACAGGAAACATGAAGAGGAGCCTGTCCACCCGGCTTCTGCAGCAAAGCGTCGAATCGCCTGTGCTGGATCCGTGCGGTATCCAAGGCCTTGCACAACGCCAGAACTTTAAGACTTTGAGTTCATGCTACCCCCGAGGGCTCAACCCGCTCAATGAGCTCTAAGAAAGATGTCCATTGCGAGAAGACCTCAGTCACAAGCGGCTCTTTGTCTACAGGCGACATCTCTTCCGCTCCACTACTCAGACTATGGGGCTCGAAATAAGGAGCATATTGCCTCTTCTGGGTGACCTTGACACAGCGAGTCGTAAGCATCTGCAAGATCTGTAAGCGAAGTATGCACTGTCTGGCTCAGTGACTTTGACGTCAAGACGGGGCTAGAAGGGCTCGAGGCCACAGTGTCGTATTTGGAAGTGTTTAGGATCCCTGTTGATGAAAGAGGACACTAGCCTCGAGGCACAAGCACGAAGTGCTGCGACGCAGCGTTTACAGTTGTCTTGGCAATGTGCTTTGCGGCCTGCACTCCCAGACCCAGAGACATCTTTTCGCGCTTAGCGATGAGCGCAGAGGGTTCTTTGTCGACGCTGCATTTTCCTCTGGACGCTTGTCTAGCAAGTCTGTGGTGCAGAGCAACTTGAAAGCAGAAACTAAACTGCACGTAAACCCTGGGCGCAAGCCTGACAATTGCAGGCTGCGTCAGTCCTGTCTGCGCACACATGACATGGGGCTGTTAGGTACCTTTGGGGCAAGTGCCCTGTACCGACAGACTGGTTCGGGTAGTCAGACAACCAGCTTACTACCATTCTAAGATGCCTCTGCATCATGTGTGCGTTGCAGGCATCTGTATGGGAAAGCACGCAGTCGAAGTCAGCTTCGACGATTCTGCAAACTGCTTCTTTCAAGTTTACATCTCCTACGCCAGGTACCGTCTGTCTTCAAGCCATGTCACTGCGTCTCAAAGCTCCAGCTTCGCAATGCGAGCTTTGATTGACTTGGCCTTCCAGTAGTTTGGGCTTGTCCGCAAGACTCGCATTTGCAAGCGGGCCTCCAGATATTTCTCTTGCTTAAGAGCTTCATCCTTCTTCTCCTGAGGGGCGGCATGACGTATTCAGGATCTGGCGGAGTTGGAAGGTGACAGTATTTCCTGCCAACTGTTTTGTTCTGTTTTGCTATGAGTAGAGCCAGTAGAGCTGACACAGCCATGCCTAATTATCAGTCTTGCCTCGCTCAGCTACAGCAAGGAAGATATCAAGGGATAAATAATGCGGGCTTTCTTTTGCAAAGGGCCTAGTCCTGTAAGTTGTATACAAACTGTCCGTGTCCTTCAGCCGCGCTAGCTCCTTTTCCTTGAGCTGCTGCACCTTTTGCTGGACATGCGGAAAGCGAGCATCTAGTCGAGAGGGTCTGCGCTGCTGCCTTCGGTGGAGCACTCTGTGCTCAAGCGTTGGACGCGCCTGGTCTTTTAGCTGCTCCGCCCTGTCAAAATCCTCCTCGGCTTTGGCGGCCTCCTTTTTCTCCAGGAGGTCCTCTTCAGCGAAGGGACAGGTATCGATAATTCGTATTGAGGGCCCCAGAAAAGCCGGAAGTACAGGCGCAAAGTTTGTTTGATCTGTTGGCTCCTTCAGCTCAGCTTCATAGGCCGTGCTTTCGTCATCCTCGGAGGTCTCCTGCATTGCACAACCCCTGACTGCAGTGGGCTCGCAGTCCCAGGCCTCTGCAGCCGCAGGCGCAGGCGCGGGCTCTTTGTCTGGAGCCTTCATTGTTTTCCGGCCATTGCAGCAGTAGTACGAAGTGCAAGCAATGGAGGGCAGAGAGAAGCCAGCGTTGTCGAAATTTTCCGCGCGCGGAGCGCATTGCATGTTCGGTCTTTTATCGATGCATAGTGACAAGACACCACTGTAGAAAGCCAGAAATCTAGCTTGCAAACATGTGGAGTCTTGCCACCAGCGACTATTGGCCTGTGGTTTGTGAAACAAGAGGCATCGTTGATGCATTTTAATGCCGCAGCACTTCAGAGCTGGCATAGTTGGTCATGGCAATGCTGAAGAGATGGACGAACAGCTGCTGGGAAAAAACAGGGGTGCTTCCAAGTGCCACTTAGGCAACGAGTTATGAAGTTCTTCGGCGCCTGTCGAACATGCACGAAGCCCCTTGAAGACCCATGCCTCATGGAGCCTGTGACATTATTTGCGTGCATAAGTCTCCTACAAAAGATTCTGAGGCATCGCACGAGCCGAGCTGAAAGAAACACGCGATGCTTCAGCCTGCACTTTCCAATTCGTACCACAGAATCTAACGAATTAAATCAGGAGCCTTTGCGAACATCCTGCTTCGCAGGACCGGGATCTTGTGATTTGTGTTGTCAGGGACCTTGAGCTTTCTAGCCGCCTGCGGCAGTGTGTTGTTGGGCCGGAGCTCCAGCTGATCGCATGGCATCAACACGATCTGCCCCCAAGGCCTCTGCCTCGTTGCAGCAACGGGAAAAGGACTGCGTGCAGCAAAACCTGATCTCGACCAGCAGGGCTGCTTGACCGCCCTGCATGCCACACTGTAAAATGGCCACAAGTTCGCGCCACACAAATCATGCCCACTTCCCTAGCATGATGCGCAAGCTTTGGAAGCCAGAAGCTAAGTGGGCTGTTCGCCACCGTAGGAATAGAAATCTCCGGAATGGCACTACTCAGAAGTCGCGACCCAGTAGCGCAGCATTCTGGGGCACGTGAGCCACGAGTGACCGCGACATGCAAAATGGTTCGGAATGTGAAACCACAGGCTCTTGCTTGCCTCGCTTGTTGAACTTGATCTTCATGTCTGGCTCAGAACTGGACTTCAAAAACAGTTATAATAAGACGTCTGGCTGTAAACCTGGATCTCGCCAATCTGGCATCAGTGTGAAACAGGCCCTCGGGCCTCTGTCATGCTCGGCGAAACGTGTACCGCAGGCTCCCAAGTACACGTGACCAGACACAACTAGGTGGAATCAACTGATCGATGGACGGTTGCCGTACCAGACCATGTCATCAACATCACTTCCTGTCGTGGCCATACGAACTCAGAGAGGGTCTGCAACTGGACATAACTGTCGCAAGTTGCTCTTTTTTTCTCGTGACGTGTCGACTGAGGTTGTAGCAACAACCTGCTCATGTGCCTGTTTGTGGGGTTTGACACATGCACAACTTGCGAAAAACATTTAACCACGCGTGCAGAGCGAATTTCTTCAATACCACAGCTCAGGTGCTGCAGATCATGCTGAAAGTCATGGCGGTTTGCCTGATGAATCAACACTGCTGAATGAAACGATCTATGTTGTTGCCGTGCAGCCGACTCCATGACACAGGCAAGAGCAATTGCGATTGTGCTTCGATTCTTGCTTGATGCAGTCGCCACACAAATCGAGTCGGACGAATCGTGTTGGGATGCCTGGCTGGCTGTGGCACAGCCGAAGAAGCAGCGAAGGCTTGTCCTGGAACAGAGGGGTTTTAGTACCCGCCCTCCTTACGCGTGCCCTCATGGCGGCACGCCCGCATTTGCTGCAATATATAAGTCTGGGACCTGATTAAGCACAAGTCAAGACAACAGGCATTGCATCCAATGTCGCAACATCAGAGAGCCATGTGTGACGATACACCGGGTGTCCTTCGCAAGAGCTGCCAGAGTTTCCAGGTGCTTCTTGAAGACTTGCATACCTTGTCTGAGAACACGCACTTCATTCCTCGGTCGGCAGTGACTGACAGCAACTTAAGACTCCTGTCCGTGTGGAGACTGGAAGGAACAACACTTCCGTGGCAAGAAGGCGACTTCTTCTGCACCGTCTCTGATGCCGTGATGCTCATACTGTCTCTGGCTTTCCTACTCGGAGACTGTGTGAAAGGAGATGCGTGGGTTCCAGCTCCTTCCATGTAGTGAACCTAATGCAGAAATACAACAAGTCCTAATACACATCACCCGCATTCGAAGTTCACCTAATATATCTTGTGCTAGGACGGCTGTAAGTGCGATGCCTCCTCAGCAAATCATCGCGAAGACAACAACATAATGTCGGGACAAACCGGGAAGTATTTTTGCGGCGGCAGAAAATATCGTACCAGCTGCAGCTCTTTCCGGCAGGAAGGATGTCTACACGAAACAAGGGGTTCCCATCTGCTGAGGATGTAGTTGAGGGGGCCGTTGAGCCCCAGCCCGCTTCTTCAGCACAAACAAGAGAAGCAGCGTGAACTTCACCCGTCCTTCTTCCTTCGGGTGTAAGGGGCGTCTCAAGCGCCCCGGCCCCACCAATTTTCTGGGGTTTTCGGGGGAAGGCAACGGTCAGTGCGGGTCAGCCCTCCTCTCTCGCACTCTCTGTTTCTTCCTTCCTTAATTGCTTCGGGCGAGTTGAACATGCCAAATTCGAATTCGAGCGTGCTGGGGGGAGCGATTGTCACAGTGTTGGCACCGGGATCTCCAGCTCTTCTGAAGGCATGCGCACGCATACCTCAAACCCCATGTGTATGCGCACAGGGGCTTCCATCAGAAGTTCAATACACGACGACACCGCATGAAGCATAGCAGAGTCACTGTCTCCTCGTTTAGCAGGCCTCACAAGGGCCGGGAGCTTCCCCGACCTCTCCCTTTCACGTGGCGCTGTCTTTGCCCGGACCTTGGGCTGCCCGCTGTAAGGAGGCCCCTTCGTCTGCGTCAAGTAAGTCGCACAGCTTGCTTCCGAGTTCCCAAGTCTACTGTGTCACCTCTTGCTGGCTTTCAGTCTGTCTTGCATACTGGTACTAGCTTTGCAGACCCCCCCCCCTTTCAACAGTGCTACTTTCAGAACCTCGCCAGATCCCGCCTCCCCACCTGCACACCGCAGGTCAGCTCGTTGATGTGTACTGGAAAGTTTTTCGGGCTTCACAGAAGGACGGCTCCCAGTCTTTTGCTTGGGCTAGGGGCTGCCGTTTGCTTGACCCGCGCTTTCGCGCTGCCCCGCCCACCATTTTGAAGGACGGACCTGGCTGTACGAAGGACAGTACCGTGGTATTCCGGACGTTGGGCGGGTGCCCCTCTTGCCCTCTCTCCACGTCCACTGCATGTACATGGACGTACACAGACTTGGCATATGTGTATAACCACCGTCCAATACTTGTCTAGCCAATTCGAGAGAAGCTGCTCTAACTCCACTACTCCGCTGCAGTCTGCTCCCGGCAGCCTTGGTTTGCCGTCAGCTGCTGCACAGGGATTCCCATGCGGCGGGCTGCATGTTTGCGGGACCACTTCTGCATTGCAGCTTGTGTCGCAGAATGCTCTTCTGGCGGAGTTCTGGGCAAGATCCCAGAAAACTACTTATCTTGCTGGCCTGTCAAAGAAGTCGGGAGCCTTTTAACTTGACACCCGCCTGCCAATTCCAAAACGAGCAAAGCCTAGTCCTCGAACCTTAGATCCTCAAACTTCTTGCCCAGTGCTTCCTGGAGGGCCAGGGCTATACATACATACCTAAGTACGTACGTACATACATATATATATATATACAAATTGTATTATATATAAAGAGACATAACTGAATGAATGAACATATCAATAAACAAATGAATGAATACCTCTAGTTTTTTGCTTCGGGGCTCCATGGTACGTATGTATGTATGTATGTATGTATGTATGTATGTGACTATGTATGTATGTATGTATGTATGTATGTATATGTGTGTGTGTATGTGTGTGTATGTGTGTATGTGTGTATGTGTCTCTGTCTGTCTGTCTGCCCGCCTGCCTGCCTGCCTGCCTGCCTGCCTGCCTGCCTGCCTGTCTGTCTGTCTCTGTCTGTCTCTGTCTGTCTGCCTGCCTGTCTGTCTGTTTGTCTGTCAGTATGTATGTATGTATGCATGTATGCAAGTATGCATGTATGTGTGTGTGTGTATGCATGCATGTATGTATCAGAAAGCATAGAGTCATATAGCATGTGCGATGGTCATAGGTAAATGATTCTGAAAGTATAATGCAAGTTTGTCTTTTCCAGCCAGTCCCTCCCCCGGCGTTGCTGGCCAAGCCACTGGGCAGCCTCACAGCGACGGGTCAAGGTGGTAAAGAATTACATCTTAGACATGCGCTGCTATCGCGGCGATACCGCTGTTTCCGCATGCCAGCTTCTGCTTCTGCAGCTCAATCGGTCCAGCTTGCTTGGGCAACCGGGAGAGTTTGCGTGACATGCACTTCTGGAGTGGAAATTCCTATGCCCTTTCAGCACAAGCCTGAAAAGCCCAGTCCACGGTCATGCTGGAATTTACGGCTGCTTCAGCCGCAGCCCGTTGGGCTTCGGCTAGCTTGTCCGACCCATCGTCCACCATTTTCCTGAGGCGCCCGCGCCAAATCGCACTCGAGGAATGCAGACCAGTCACTTCTCCGCAATCATCAAGGCACAGTAAGGTGGCCTCTGACTGATACACTGCAGCTTAATCCAAGCAGCTCCAAGAGGACGGCGATGGTGACGTTGATCAGGACCTCAGCTCTGAGACTCTCAGACTCCCCGTCCGTGAAGGGTTCCCCTGGGACGGCGGCGATTCCACAGAGCAGCCTCGGCCCATAGCAACTTCACAAAGAGTGGAACGAGTTGCCTCTTGCATACAGACGGCTGAAACGATGTAAAGTAAACTGTCGTCCCGATGGTTCGAGTGATGTCGTCTGTGAATATCCTTGGCTGCCACCCAAAGGCTTGCACATGGGCCGAGGCTGGGCTGAAGATCGATCAAAGGTTCAAGTGCCGTGCCACAGCCTCTGACCAGGAGTCGCCGGTCAGGACTTGAAACATGGTGAAGAGCGAGAGGCCTCGAGAGACGGCCCCCCTGTTATGCACACTTGGCCCCCCCCCCCATCTCACAGCCGAGAGACAGAAGTTCCCGAAATACTCCTCCCCATGATGTAGCTCCCGGGCTGTTCCCAAAGGCACAGTTATGTTCCTGCATCGCAGATGCTTCGTGCGAGTCTCAACCGGCCTTGCGTCCTGTACTATGCACACAACGTCTCTTCGCAGTCGAGATGCAATGTGTTCGTGTAAAAGCCTTCAGAGGCAAAGTTCCTGAGAAAAGTGAAACCAGCCCTCTCCATGCCGCGAACAGGCCCTTTTCATTAACAGAAACGACCAACACACGTAGCAACAGATAGCAACAGTTTAGGTGATTTTGGTTTGAATTTTGCAGCCTCGGCGCATGAAAAAGTCCACTGCCAGAATGGAATAAATGCACCTGGTTCACTTGACAGCTCGCCTCTCACGAGTGACGAAGACATCTTGCGAAGACCCCCGCTATTCCTTCCCGAACGATGCCATGCAAAACAGAATCTTTGTTTGCGGCCGAGGTGCATGACGAGGAGCAAGATGCCGAACGCATTCACATGCGCAGGCATAGCTTTCGCCAGCGATTCTAAGATCCTAAATGCGAGTTCAATGGCCCATTCTGACCACTGTACAGCACAAAAAGGGTTTCCAACCTGACGATCAGGATCGAACTGTGCCACACAGGTCTCAACAAGCCCCATCACACATTCCATTCTAGGCAAGGCTCTTTCGCAGTGACTTGATCCGCCTCACGTTTCTGCAACTAGGCCACTGGCATCCACCCTGGTCCTACACCCCCCAGCCCCCCCCCCCCCAGGGTGCCAGAAAACGCTTCGAGACCGGTAGGGTTCACTGCACGCTTTAACTTCTCAGCCCCCTATGCCTAACTACCCGGCACCGTCTCGCAATGTCGAATCTCAAAGTTGGAGAAAGGGCTCACAGGAGCATTTCGTGCATCACACGGTAAACAGCGCGGTTCTGGACGAAAGATGATTTCTCCAAGCCGCTTGAACAGTCTGAAGACCCGGAAGGCTCGCATCATGCGAAGCAAGCTGAGCGGACCCGGCAGGGGCACTTGAAAGACGTCCAGGATGCCTGACCGGACATGGACACAAACTCCGCCCTGGCACTAGGTTGGCCACCGTGACGAATTTTCGAATCGATGCAGGACATGCTGGCACGAAGCTTTTTCAACAAACGCGGGCTGGCAAACCATGCCTATAGACACCACCACCACATCGAACACGTTCCTCAGTCCAGAGCACTTGCGAAATCGAATCTGTGATGAGACCTCGTGCTGGTATCTTCAGTTTAGGTTCCACCCAGATGACCAGAATCGCCGCCACCAGAAGCCATACCTGAACAGGTATGCGATCACGCCCAGAGGAACCCCGGTGAACCAATGATTGAAATTGTCTGAAGAACTAGCAGCGGGAAGCAGATCCTGCCAAGGTACATGTTCGCAAACAACTCAAAGGAGAAGACGATATTGAAGAAAAGATCCTTACGGGCAAGGTTCTTGGCAGCCGATTAGCAGTCACCAACTACGTCCTGGAGGCACTTTCGGCCCAGCTTCGGTCCCTCGCCACAGATCTGGATGCCTGTCTCCATTCGGATCGATCCACTTCCTGAAGAGTTTCGAAACAGTGCCACACAACCCATGTCCCAGCATCTGCGTCCACACACACGCACACACTCACACACACCTCACTCGCGCATTCGGGCTATGCTACGGTCGAGCAAGCCTCTCCATCCGAGACCCAAAACACTCGGCCGCTTTCTTCTGCAGGTTCAGGGGGGTCAGCTGTGTCGAGGCATCGAGCGAGCGGTGGACATGTTTCGAAAACTGACGTGGCGTGCCTTGACAGGGGTTGACCGCCCCGCGACTGTAGGCCCCACTAGGACAGGACCCTCTCCCTCTTTGCTTGTTTGCTTTTTCTCAGAAGGCTGCTCTTTACTGCCCAGCTTGTTTGCTTACCACGTGCACTCTTTACGCGAGAGCGCACCTGCTGTTCATCGGGGTTTTTCGACACGTTTGGTGGAGCGGCTGTACTCACTGTACTCCTCTCGTTCTCGCTCACTCCCCTCGGGCCCCAGGCCCGCAGAAAAGCACGGCGAAGCTGAAGATAAGCCCAACTGAAGTTCTCCGGGGCGGCAAAAGGCAGTGCAGGCATCGCTGTTAACACTAGGAGTCTCTCTCTCCATCTGAATCTATCTCTCGACTGCCTCTCCGAGTCTCCGCTGGTGCTCACATGGTCAATGCTAGAGGCAGTTGATGGACTCTTCTGAGCAAGTTCTGAGCCGAAGCTTCCCGTGTCGCTGCCTCGCGCGATCACGAATTGAACAGATCTTGTTGCTTCCTTTAGCACCCAGGCTCAGATCCTGATCAGCTTGGAAGCTCCTGCGTATGCTGTTTCAATGACTGCTTGCCAGGTGGCTCTACTATGTTGATCATGAAGTTTCCACAGATGAGCGCAGCAACTGCCATCTGCGACTTGATGTCCATATACGCTGTCGCGACCTGGCCGTCTCTTACGTAACCTCGCTCTGGCAAGCAGCCGGCACACTCACAGCAACGACACGTACAAGCCTCGACTTGTGCGCCCAACACGCTGAAGGCAACGAGCATTGTACTGAAAAGCAGAATCCGTCTTGTGAAATGCGGCGCGAAGCAGGCCTTGCGCTGGTGTCGCCATATTCCAGTTTGGTCAGCTGGCGGCAGCGGGTCCTTGGGTGAAGAGCAGAGCATGGTGGCTAATCAGCTTGCAGTGCAAGCAACACCATGCACAGAACAACACCGGCACGCCCCTTCTGACTGCTGCAGTGCGTCTTTCTGAGCGAAGCTTTCTATCCGTGTGCCAATTGCAGGGATATTCCCTTCGGCAATGGCTGCTTCGACTTCCTGACGTCGCTTGACCGCCGCTGCTGCTGCTGCCGCCATGGTCCTTGAGTTGGCATGCGCTCTTTTCCTACCCGCTTAGCTGAGATGCACTCCTCGCCAGAAAAGGCCAAAACTGCGAGCATGTGCCAGCAAAAAACTTCGCCGGTACCCTAAGTTACTGTTGCAGGCGAGCAGCTATTTCATGCACCCACTGGTAGGTGCAACTCATCTGCTCTACACATGAATGTTGTAAATTGCTTGTTGCTGATTGTTGACGTTTGGGCCTTCGTCGTTCTTCTGCTCCAGTGGAGAGCCTACCGCTTGGGTTACTGGTGGGGTTGCGTGGTGCGTGTGTGATGAATGGTCTGGGCTGTAATTTGCTGTAACAATAACTACACATCGAGGATGTAGGATCTTGAACTGGGAGGAATGAAGAGGCATTTCTACACCGCCACCGGTGTGGGGGGGGGCCAATGCGGTACGTTTCTGCGAGCTGCAGTGGCTGCGGCCCGACGAGAGATGGGACATGAAACTTTCAAAAGGCTTCACATCTTGGAAATACTGCGGAAGCTGCCTTTCCCCTTACCGCTCAGGGGCCTGGGATGTGGAGGGAGGCTCGTAAGGAGGCGGTTTCGGCTTCTCCTTGATCCTGACGGCCTGAGCGTAGGTTCATTGGGCAAGTGAGCAGTTGCGGACGCTAAGGTGGTCGGACCTTGTCTTTGTACTTGGTGGCAAGCGCCATGAACATGGAGGCTTCCTGCACAGCCCGGCAGGGTGTTGCTTCTCAGATGCTCGCAACCTAGGCTGACGATATCATATCCAGTCCTTTCCCTTCCATTTCTTCCAAACCTCGTCCACATCTTTGATTTCACCTCGGCTTCCATGCAAAGGGCTCGCAGGTGGCACTCTTCGCTGCGGCCAGTTTGGCATACCCGAAGGTCAACTCCGCAGGTCTTAAGACGCTTCAAGGGCATCAAACAACGCAAGGATGAAAAGAATCGCTTCACGGTGACCGTACATGTAACATCAGCCAGCTTCCAGCTTCCAGCTATCAGGTCGCCATGTAGCGAAAGATGGAGGCTTTGCGAAGAGGTATGCTTGACTGTTGCTTGGCAAGAGGATCTCTCACAAAGCTGGCTGCCTTTGCCTCGACGAAAAAAACATGAAAAGTCTATAGTCGCTTTTCCCAAAACAGACCCGGCTTTCTCGATCAATAGGAAAGCACGAGGCGAACTTATTTTGATCGTGTTTGTGAAAACTCGCAGAAAAGTCAGGAGACGGCCATCTGCTGGGTGGGAGCGGAGCCATCTTGAACATCAGCCAAATAGCACACTTCAAGTCACACCAGACGAACGGACAAGAGGTCGTCAAGGCTTTAGGGACTTTCTTGGCTCATTGAGCACTCGCACTCGCGCTCGACCACGTCTTTTCTTGCTTCCCGCCTAGCTAGGACGAGCTCGCATCGCAGGGTTCAGTCAGAGAGCCAGGTTTCTACGCTCTCGAGGGTTTCGACTCATACACTCGCACAAGGCTGGTATGGCTGACGAGGGTCTGTGCTCTCGAGGGTTTAGGGTGAGTCTTCTGTTCTCATGACGGGTGCCAAGCAACCACTGTCACTCAGCTTCTCCGGGTTGAACTTCTTGTAGAAGGCCTTCGCCAGGCTGCAAAAGGCAAGTGCCAAGTTAATCTGCACGAGGCATACGGGTGCACAGGACAGACAAATCGCATGTCCGGCAACTGCGGAGTCCTGAAGCTTCCTGGCATTTGCAGCCTGTGCCTCGTGCAAGAGGTCGCCAACAACAAATGATCTCACGCGCCGCTGCTTGAGACGGGCTTGGGCACTGACCTCTTCACGCGGAACGCATTGGCACACCGCTGATTGTGCCGCGGAGTACGACCGGCACTTGGACCTGACAACAACTCAGCTTACTTAGTCCAGGATGCGCTTTGATGACGCTAAAGCTCTGCAAAGCGACTTCTCTGCTTTGACCATCACCGCTTGTCACTGCATGTGCCATCTTGAAAGCGGACTAAGACAGAGGCTCCATAGGGTCGTACTTCTTCTCGTCGAATTTTTCAGCCTCTGCAGTGGCAAGCTCGCCATCCAGGCGCTTAACAGCAGAAAGGTAAACTCTGTCGAAACGATTACGCATCCTCGTGCTACAAGGATCATCTACTGAGAAGGAATGGAAGTCGCAAACTCATGTGATCGGTTTGTTGCTCAGCACTGCATAGTACACGAACCCCACCTTGTCAGTGTCGTAAGGATCTCCGGAAAAGTCTGCTACCATGGCCTGCCAGCATGCCAGCCAAACGGGGCACAGGGCTTGGCCCAGCATCTTTTTCAAGGACGTGTATATCGAATGTCTAGGATGAGCGAAAGATTCAAGACCATCTACCCACCAGCCTTCACTGAGCAGGGTTCTGTCGAGTTGGCTGAAGAACATGAACAATACTCATTCAATAGTCTGAATTCAAGCGAAGCTATGTCGAGCCGTCATCCTGGTTTGGCAGGGTCTTCTCAGGTTAGCTTGGCTTGAGGTTTCTGCAAATGACCGAGAAGTCCCCACACATTTTTCTCGTCTCGCAATGACCAAGTGCGAAAAGATGTTTCTTTGCTGCGCGCCTAAACGACCTAACCTTGAAGCCAGTTAAGGTTACTCGAGAGCCTCTCTTCGGCGTGCTGCTCTGCCGCTACAAGTTTGCATCCAATGGACGCCCGACTTGTCTCAGCTGAGGCCCGACCAGAAGATTGAGGGACTGCGACACCTACAAGCCCTGGACACTGCAGTAGCAGAAACACGAGAGTTCAAACCGAAACTGATGCACAGAATGTTGAATGGATCTCTCTCTTGGCTGAACCGATTCCGCGGTCCCTCTCTCGCCAGCCTGCAGCTGGCAATTCTGATCGCCTTTGCAGACCCTTGGCTAAAGCAGTGCAGTAAGCCAATGCGAATATGAAGGCGTACCTGAGCTAGGGAATTATCTAAACAAATCCACGGTGAACAGACTGCCCTTCAGGCCGCGGGAACAACTAGCCAAGCCGCTTCTGCTGACATTTCCTTGGCTCCCAACATTCCCTCTCCCGGCCGATCAACAAACGCCTGTGAAAGGACCTAAGAGGCTGCTTCCCCGGCGGAAAAAAAGAGCTGTTCCACCCCTTATTCCGGGCCACTGGTAGCTGTCGTGGCACTCCTTTGAGCTCATCCCACAAGTTTGCTTGCAAATGTCTCGCTCGAGACCTCACCAGACCAGTCGATTCAGAAGATGAGTTCCCGTGATCACTACGGTGCCCTGCGATCGCACAGTCTTCAAAACTGACATCTCCTGTTCTGACAGCCAGGCTGCAGCACTTGTTCAAGTTTTTGCCCATCTGGTTCATACCAGCGTAGGGGTTGGAGGGATCAAAGTCTTTCCTGACATCAGGCGCGGTGCATACAAACAGGAGCATCTGGACAGAGAATCTAGCTTTAGACTCGGTGACGGGTTGCGGTCCGCATGATCCCGCCAGGAAAGGAAATCTTCCCCGGAGCCTTCTAGCAGCTAGCAGAGCCCCATCCCAAGTTGATTATATCATTCCATCATTGCTTCTGCTTGTTGCTGCCATCCTCACGCACACGTGTCTGATGATGTGCTGAACCAGGCCAATGAGGTGAGGTCAAACTCCTGACGAAAAATGCAATCCGAGCTTCATGCTCAAGACGTTGAGGCCCGCCTCCTTGCATCCATAACTAACCTGAGCCATCTGTGTTTTGGATATTGTCAAACCTGGGCATGATTGTCATTGTAAGCTGCGAAACAAGTACGAGCCGCGAGCGGCCGTAAGGACAAACACATAAAACGCTGAGTTCGCGCGTGGTGCTGCAGCTAATTGCAATTCCAAGTCCAGTTGCCCTTTTACACATACTCCCTCTTCAACCAGCAGTGATGTGCCCTGACCACGCCGGTGACAAGCCGAACTACGTTGCTTCCAGTGAAAGTATTCGCTGCTCACTTGGGCTATGACTTTTTTTGCAACCCGAGAGCCAAGGTGCGGTTCTTCGGTCTGCGAACTTGGACACTTGGTGTCCAGCTCGCGACATTTCCGTTCTGTACCAACAGCGCAGCTCACGGGCGGGAATGGTGGGTGTTGCAAAAACTCCTCGGGCCTTCGAGAGCTTCGGCTGTTTCACACTCTAACGTAAATGCGAACAAAAGCGAACTGTGCATGGCACACTTAGGTACAAAGAGCGAACACTCTGCAGGCTTCTCGCTTTGCGGCAGAAAACACGAAGCGAACTGCGGAGGGCTCTGCCGTCCGGGTGGTCCTGCGGCCACTGCTGCTGCCAGTGCGAACGCTGCACTCTCGCCCTCCACCGACCAGCGCCGCTGCTGTGTCGCCGGCGGCATGTCCTTACGAACTTGTCCCCTGTAGACGGAGCCATAGCCTTTGCGCCCATTGGCTGGCCCTGCTGCGAACTGGTAATCGGGGTATAAGACGAGCCTGCGACCGGTGAAGGAGACTTGGTCGTCGCTGCTCGGGCCGCCGTCGTCGAGCTCACTGGTGCCGTCGGCGAACTCATCATGAGAGCCATCGCGTCGGCAGTGGACATAGGAAGGGCTGGAACTGCTGCGACCACCATGTTCGAGGGGTCCGTTGGCAGACACTTCACTGTCGCCTTCTTTGGCATTGCCGTAAGTCCTGTAGGTGCTGCCTGGGGCGGCGGCAACGGTGGAGGCGAACTTGCAGCCTGTGCGTTGTAAAGCTCGGAGTCGGCGGCGAACTCATCGCCTTTCCCGCTGTGCCACCCTGTGCGAACTTCGTGCCATCGGGCGGTAGGCCAGGCGGTGCGGACACAGCCCCCTCGTTGCTCCCTGCTGCCTGAGACGCGAAAAGAGCGGCCGTTGTACACTGACGGGAGATCCTCAGGTCACCGTCCGTGAGGCGACCCATATGTACTCCAGGCCGTCCATGTCGACCTCTGCGACCATGTGCAGCGCGGCCCACGAGTCATCGCCACGAACGTCCTGCGACCAAGCCATGGCGTCATTGGACCTTGCTGCAAAAACTCCTCGGGCCTTCGAGAGCTTCGGCTGTTTTCACACAGAACTGTGCACGGCACACTTAAGACTTAGGTACAAAGAGCGAACACTCCACTCCGCAGACTTGTCACTCCTTGCACCCGTGCAAGACAATGCAAAGTTATCTTTGACCCAAGCCATTGCTGTACTTCCAGAGACAGCTGACAGCTCGAACTTCTTGCTTTGTATGCTAGACTTCTCTTTTAATCATGAGTATCGCCAGAGTTGTGGGGAGGCATACCGCTTCACCTTGATGCTGGACACCTTTACCAGCCGATCAGGTCGTCTTGGACACAGAAACACAGTTACAGAAACACAGTTGCAGGGCAAGTCACGATTTCGACATCCTCCCTGCCCACTGCCAGCTGGCCCGCTGGGCAGCTGAAAGCCGGGCAGTTGGGCGCAGGGGGCGTGTAGCCGCCGAAGCCTGCCCAAAGTTCCCCATGCATCACTGATGTTTCAAGGCAGCCCGGAACGCAGGGCCTTGGCCCCAAGCTCGGTGGGGCAACCAGAACAGGAAAGCTGCGAGCTGGCAAACCTCATAGCAGAAATTGCACTGCACTCAAGAAGACGGCACACTGACCCTAAGCTCGGCAGCCACAAGGTAGTTAAAACCGTTCAACATGCGAAGAAGCCACCAGGCTTCCCGGTCTCATGTCCGCCCAAGAGCGGCGGGCCGACATTGAGCGGATAAAAGCTGTAGGTGTGCCCGAAGTTGATCCTGTTTCTCGAGATGCTTCTTGAGTCAGGCCTGGGATACATGTCACGACAGGCTGGAGTTAGCAAGGGTGTCCAATACTGATTGGCCCGGCTTGAAATGTCAGAACTTCGGACCGGGAGAGAAGTGACGTGAAGCAATTGTGGGATGGGCCTTTGCTGATTCCAGGCTCTTCTAGAGAATCTGACATGACTTTCGCATGCCGGCATGCGTTGACATGTGTTGAAAGGACGCACAACTTGAGTGCACCAGTCGGCGAGAGCTTCTGCTTGTCGGACACTGAGGCAAGGTACAGACACACGCTGCCGTCCCCATTGAGCAGGGCAGGCTTTACTTGCGAGGATGGCTGTAGCTCGGGTGGCTGCAGGCTCGACAATTGGTCCAAGATCTCCTTGGTCGCCGCAGTTTCGCCGCCGAGCCCTCCAAGCGTGGCGCGGATTTTCTCGACAGCTGATGGAACGGACTCGCCAAAGGCAGCCTCGGCATTCCCAGCAGAGAAGTGCTCAAGCCCACGGCGGGGGCATAGATACCAGACTGACACAGCATGCCGAAGTCTAACCCACGGTGGCAGCACTTCGTGGGGAACGTTTTCCGACCAAAACAGCACCAGCGTGTCCAAGGCTGGTGGCACCTCTGCCAAGACCTGAAGCCTTCCATCCTCCTGCTTTAGCAAACGGAGTTCGCCACCAGATTCAAGATCCCAGTCTCTGTTCAGATAGTAAATGCAGGTAAGCAAGCGCCCGTTTCTGCCTTTGCCGTTGTCGAAATGCCAAGTGTATCTGCTGCCTGGCTCGTAAACCGTTACCATTGGCCAAGTGCGGAACTCACACGTGTCCATCTTACCTCCCGTCAGAGGCCGCAATCCAGAAACAAAGGCATCCAGCTCAGACAGGAATTCCGCCGGTGCTTCATTTGGCAAAACCGCCCAGTCCCCGCGTCCTATCCCTGGTGACTGCACTCCGCCGAGGCCTGGGCAAGCAGGCAATGGACTTCCAAAGTCAGCATCTGCTAGTTCCATTGCTTGCACTGGCCCCAGAAAGTTGGCCAGCACCGCTGCGCCGTAGAGGTCAAGCAATGCTGCTGCTCGGGCACACCTGTCCCCCAAGTCGGCGGAAGCGCAGAGTGTTAAGGACTCGAGTCCTGATTGAAGTTCCCGGACGTTCGAGCGACGCAGGCTGTGATGATACGCCGCCTCTCGGAGTAGCAGCCCAAGATCCGTCCCACCCGACTCTGGGCTCGTTTGCACTGGCCCTGCAATCCCGTCTGGTGTGCAAAACCAACACGGGCAGTCCACCAGGATTTTCGTAAGGTGAGTTCTCGCAGCTCCTCGCTGAAAGCTTGGATGAGATCCTAATCGAAGGCTTTCGCCAAGAATCCGTTCTGCTGTTCTTTGCCTGTAGAACTCATCTTGGCCAGCAATGTCCACACAACAGATCGCCTCTTCACTTTCCGCAACAGCAGCTTGTATGGCTGCAGCTTCCCTGTGCCGGCCGTCATACACCAAGTACATAGCACCTTTCCGATCCTTCACGCTAAAACATGGGCCCTATCATGCTGCTCAGCAAGATGCGCCTCCGCCTCCGCTCTGCTACGGCGTGATTTGAGCTTTGACTCTGGCGTGGCACTCTACCTAGTGACCTGCGTGCCTAGAGCCTGTCCTGCACTCAACCCAGCTCATGAGCCCCCGCAAAAAAGCGGCAGATCTGGGCGACTCGCCACTGCGCGATGACCTTCGGCCATGTCCGTGTGCAGCAACTTCAGCAGCTCTTTCATCCTGGCACGAGTAGAGGCCCGTTCTAAGGCAATGCAAGAGGGGTGTCGAGTGAGGTCCTGAACTCAAACGGCTTTAGGGGAGTCCTCTGTCGGAGTCCTAGAAGTGTTTGTCCTCGCTTTGCTCGGAGCTTTTGTCCACTTAAATATGGACGGGTGGCCAAGTGCAACACCGCCGCTCAGAGACTCAAAGCTTGCTCATTCGAATTCCGCCGTCCACGCGTATGGACTCACCATTGACAAACCTCGGGGAGCTTGTGGGGCAGGGAAAGGCAAGGCCCTTCTGCCGAATCGCCACTTGAAATGGCATGAAGGATCTCTTATTCACTGCCTCTTAAGACTCCGCCAAGGGTCTTGTTTTCAAGTATCGCCACGGCCATCTGGGCAAACTCCTCTGGCTGGCCCAGGCGCGTGTTCGGAAAGACGTGCGTCCTCTCAGCGACGCGGGGGGGGGGGGGGGATTTGTGGTCATGTGGGCTATGTCTCCAATTGCAGCCGCAGCCAGATGACCCATGCACTTACAGTGATGCCAAGTCAAGCCAAGCTGTAGACGGGCCACTCAGCAAGATTCTTGTACACTGCTGGCTTGAACTGTTTCCTCGGCTTTGCAAGTCCAACTCTGTAGGCCAGTCAGTCAGTCACGAGCCCGGCCTGCATGAAGCTTACATTTCCTAGCCGAATACCCTCCCGCAAAAATGTTGAAGATCGGATGCCAGATTGTCGAAGCTGCCAATGAGTTGGGGGACTTAAAGAGAAAGTGTAGTAAGTACTGCCACACAAGGTCAAAGGCCGCCTAATCTCAGGCAAGTCTCAAAGGTGCTGTCATCGGAGTATCAAACACACCCGGCAGTATGCAGTTCACGCGGATTCCGCGCTTCCCCAGATCGCGGGCCATGGGGAGCGTCATCGAGACGATGCCGCCCTTGCCTTGGATCCCATACTGAATGCCAGCTCATGCCATCTCTTCCGCCAGAACACGTGTCGGACCTTGTTTTCACCAAAATGACGACAAGCCGCCTGCTGCATAGGCGATTTGTCCGTTTTGACCTGAGCCGCGAATGTGCTTCCAGCTGACTGACCTGTGCGAAATGGCCGAGATCCTGAGCTTCTTGCCATCTTGTGCCGCAACGCTAGCGACCTTGAGCAGTCTCAGGTTCTCATATTGCCAGGGGGTTCCGGGGCATATCATGTTTGGAGCTTTTTTGGAGGTGCTGGGAAGGATCCCTTTGCAAGCAAGAACAACCCTGAGGTGAAGGGGCTGCTCGACCCCTGAGAACACAAAATCGCCTCATCATCATGTCAACATGAACACGAATGATCTGTATTGTTGCGGCATCGTCTTGCAGACTTGTATGGAATGCAATGATGGCCCAAGGCAGTGCTCCAGCGACATGGCGATCCTCGCATGCGAGAGTCTTCACGAATTACTGCCATGACCATGCTGAAACGACACTCAAACCCTGATCCACTGCTGGTTGGCTCGAGCTCTCTGGCCACTCCCTCATCGCAAGAAGTCTAAACTGACTAAGAAGGCTGACTCGGGCAGGAAGGCAAAGCCACGGGTGCAACGACAGCATGCGAAACTTTAGATTCTTTAGATGTGTGATTCAGCAGCAGCATTTTGTGGTACATCTTCCCTGCAGCGCGACCGCAGCGCAGACCCAGAAACGGGAGCCAGAAAGCTTACCATTCAAGCAGTCGTGAAGAGCCAACGACTAGTGACACTAAGTACATAAGAGTAGGTCTGTATGCACTAACTCGGGGCAGAAACGCACCAACCGCCGGCATTCGAGCTGACAACCCCGCTCAGACGAGGACTCAAACTCAAAAATGCCTTCGAGTCTTGCTCAAAGATACTTGCCTTCATGTCTTGGAACTTTCCGACTTGATCTGAACAACATCGGCAATGATGGAACGAAACACCCGTCGCTTCGGAGTGGACAGACACACAGTGCAGCTAGGTCACATTTATGATGCAACCTGGGCTTTCTGGTTTACGCGCAATGCATACAATCTCGGGAAGCTCATCCAACTCACGCGCAAGGACCCACTCCCCAGTGCCGTTTCTCCGCGCCTCGCTCTCCATCCTCGTCCTCTGGCGCATTCTCTGCTATCAGAGCCGCTGCCTCGCGGCAGGCACAGCGGCAAAGCGAATGGTAACTGAAGCCGCGAAGATCAGCGAACCTCTGTGGAGTTTTGCAACTTTACCGTTACAATTGGCGGTGCCAGTGCGCACACAGCACAACTCCTTCTGTGCGATTGGTTGCATCCGAGTTGTCTGCAGGCATGTCAGGGTGTGTAGCAAAATCTCAGTGCGAAAGTGTCCGCACCAGGATTTCGCTAGGCTTCGCAAGCAATCTGTCACTGCCCAGGCGGGCTTTGAGAACTGTTTACGCCGCTGATGCCAAGCAGGCTCCCGCATCGCTATTGAGATCGAATCTCTCTTGGACTCTGTTGACTTTGCGAGAGTCTCAATTACAACTGCCTTTGAAATGATTCCGAGTGCATCAACCCCTGAGCAAGTGGCAGTCACTTCATCTTGGGCGCTTCTGATGCCATGCACACTGTGCCTTGCTGGCGATGAGGAAGGTGCCAAGAATGTTCAGCTCAACCGTCTTCTTGAAGGGAGACAGAGCATGAGGGTTGCCCTTCTTGTCCAGCGTGAGGCCGGTGCCTAGCACTTTAGACGATTCTCGGCCCTCTGCGAAAGGTTGTTACAATTCTTCAACAGAGGTAGTGCGTGAGGAACCTTCCTGCATCTGAGACCCTTGCCAAGAGTTTGACCTCCTGCAGAAGGGGGCTCTGGTGTGACCATGTTACGTAACGTGAAACAGCATAACTATGCAAAAGATGCAAAAGAACGACTGCCCAGGCAGTGCCCTCTGACCTGCGCAGCTGACGACGCCACTCAACTTTCCGAACTTCTCCTTGATGGCTTTCATGCAGTCTTCCACTGATTTCTCATCCAGGATGTTACCTGGACGCAATGGTCCGGTCATTGAAGCAGAAGAAAGGTAATCTGCAGGCAGACTACACGACTATGGGTTGCAGTCTGCATCAGTGCAATGAAAGGTCGCAGCCCACACGAGCTTCTAGCAAACCAGGTAAGCCGGCCAAGCGTCATTCTACAAACAATGCATTCGACGCACCAACTTTCTCAACGACCGCATCACCTTTCTCCTTGTTCATGTCCAAGACCTTGGCAGCTCAGGACATGGCCTGACCGGTAAACGCCTGGATGATTCACACTTCATGTCGTACCAGCTGAACAGTTTTGGCGGGCGCTCCGCTGCGATCGCTGCGAGATCTTGGAAACAAGGCCACGCCCAGTTCTAGTTCGAAAAAGAACGGGCCTTTGCACGAATTGTTGCTCGTATATACCGGAATACAGGGAAATCAACAGACCGTTGAGAAAAATGCACAGCAGTCTCGAGCCGCTCCAATGACCGGTCCCCTTGTGAAACATTGGCAGGATCGCTTGTCCAAAGCCTTTGATCAACCTGCTGCAATCGCATGTCATTGCGCATGGACGCACAAGTTGGTGAGACGGAATTTGACACCCGGTTGCAGCATCCATTCCATGCTGAGGTGCCACGGCGGCTTCACACGCCGACAACTGACTGGCCTTCTTTAGCTTTAGCTTGAGCCTTGTGAGCTGCCGGAGCAGCTGGGACCGGGGCAGATGCTGCCGTGGGACTTGCATCAGGCGAGTGCGCACTGTCCTCCTCCACCTCCTCTGCACCTTGCGCTCCAACACTGTAGGGTGAGTTCCCGACGTTGTCGTCTACCGCGGATTTGTTGCCAGAACCCTGGCTCACTCCACTTTGATGGCTCGCAGAGCCATGCATTGCGGATCCTCCCATCATGGATGCAAGCGCCCCCTGCTGGTTTCGAACTCCGAGCTTGACAGCTATGTCGAAGACCAGTCTCTCGATCTCATCAAACCTCTTGTCTGTGCTCCTCTGCAGCACGGCGACAGCACTGTCATCCTCCTCTGCAGTTGGAGGCCATGGTAGCTGGGGGGATGCCAGGCCACCATAGCGCTGGACCCTATCAAGTTGGATCGACGGATGGTTCAAGTAGTCATACTGCCCCTCGGAGGTTGCAAGACCTCCCTTGGGGCCTGCATCACCTTCGTCAAGCTCACACGGCTCTTCAAGGCGCAAGGAATTCACAAACCTCGTCCATCGCTTTGTGGAAATCATGGGCATGGCACTTTCGAAGATGATGGTGCCTCGGGTCAGCCGTGCATAGCCCAGGGCATCCTTGGAGATCGCTATGTATCGCTGGCAAAGTTGCGCCACCATCAAGTTCCTGAGTAGTGAGCCGGAGTCAACCCGAACAAGCCATGCTCATGTGCTTCGGAGAACTTTTGCAGCTAAGGTTCATGAAGTACACATGCCAGAAGGAAGCGAAGGCGATCACAAACCATTTTAGGAGTGGCTCGTTCTCAACCGCAATTTCACCGTAGTTATTTGCACCGTACACATTGAGTCCCATTGAGAGCAGGGCCTGAAATGCTGCCGGCCAGTTGTAGAAGTCCCTCATCTGAATGCCGCCGTCAAGCCCAGACTGTGGCAAGCAAGCAATCGCAGAAGCGAAAGCTGTCGCCAAGAAAAGCAAGGCCCCGATGTAGACAACGAACTCCCACCAAAACCGTGTGCAGATCACGGCGAAGCAGCTCAAGTGGATGTTGAAGTGGACTAACTCAAAGGCCAAAACAAAGTACAAGAGCATAGGGATGCAGGACACTCGATCGTACCAAACCGACAGGTCACAGAAGAACTGCCCAAATGCACAACAGCTTGTCAACCACTGGTCGCTGACTTGCAAGCAATGCAGAAAGGGCTCCATGCCCAACATGGTCAGCAAGAAGAGCACAAGAACAAACTCGATGAACTCTTGCCTTGAGACGAGCAAATAGGTGGGCACTCTGCAGCACCAGACGCACGGCGAGGTCTTGCCGCTTGCGCAAGCTCGAAGGATCTGGTACATGTGTTTGGCGAAAAGCTGTCCCAAGCTGAAGACGTACATAAATGCCTTAGAATTTGAGCGGCTGCTATTACACCTTCCGGGATCTGTGCACGAGCCTGCATGTAAGAGCCTGTCTATGCTTGCATTACAAGCTGCTCGGCAGCCAATTAAGGCCCAGCGCGAATCGCCTTCAGGATCGTCGGACAGGATACCATACTGCAACCCAACGATGAAGTTGGCTAGGGTGAGGATGAACCACATCTTCGTGCCGACGAAGGCGAGGCCGCACATTCGAGTCCACAGCAGATCCGCCGCAAAGGCTGGGCAGGAGTGACAAACGATTTCAGGATCACTGTGTTGAATCAGCGCATGCAAAGAAGGAGTCAAATGGCCGTTGTCGTCGACCAGCCTGGGCTCAGAATTCGCTATGCTTCCCCCACTGTCCGCCACCCACGATGGGTCACAAACTAGCATTGCGATTGTTAGACGCAACCTCAGAAACCGTACGGCTGTCTGTGGTTTGCTGCCTGGACACAAAGAGCCGATGTAGTAGTTGACGCGACGCATACCTCCTTTGACCTTCTTGGACTTCCAAACCAGACCTGTGGAACAAGCGCAGGCCAACACTCAACACTTCTAGCCAGAAATGCAGCATGCCGAGGTGATACAATGTGATCTGCTTGCAGCGAAGCCGCCATCTAGAAGGTGGCTCAGAAGTGTGGGTGCCTGCCGACACAGCAGCTGGATGATATCCGGGTGCCGCGCGAAGAGGCCCTTCATGCTGTAGTAGTAAGACGATCGGTCTGCACGGATCGTGAGCAGCTCCTCAAGAATGGCCTGTGCGGACCTTAGCGCACCTGTCTCGATGGCCCAAACAAGCGGAGAGATGGACTCCGTACCAACCTTGGATCTTCACTGGATCGTAAAGCTTGAGATCAAGGTGAGTTTCCTTTTTGATTTTTTTCTTAAAGCAAGCTGGGCTGCCACATCTGCTACTACTGACATGCATGCAAGACCGGATCGCACATGCGGTAGTGCTAAGTCCCTCATCAGTTTAGGTCGAGGGGCTTGCACTCGCAGCAAAAGTTGCTCTCGCTTACCCCTTGGTGCGGGCGCCACAGCTTTCTGCAGTTCCTTTGCCGAGTTCTTGTTGATGGACTGCATCACGGCTGTGGAGCCTTCCGCCAAGGTGCGGGTGAGGATCCTCCCCACCTCGGACGATCCAGCCGTGCGGAATATTAGGGAGGGACCACTGTGCGTACACCCCGTCTTTAAGAGCTAAATGTGTTACCGACTGAATCAAGCCAGGCCGCAAGGTGAAGGCACCACTGGACTCCCGGCACAATGGATTCGTTGCTGTTGAACTTCTTAACCGTCAACATGATGGCCTCGGTGAAAGGGACGGTCAGGTCCTCTGGGACACCGTATCCTGCATGTAGAAGCCCTAGGGCGGAAATGTCTCGGACAGCAGTTTTCGTTTTCGTGAAAATGTCGCCCATCACGCGGAGAATGCGCCCCATGATGTACTGCAATCGAGCGTTGGATGCCTTGAGGTAGTCTTGCGTCTGGACGCAGGTAGCGAAGAGTGTTTCGAAAACCTCCAGCTTGAATTCCGCCGCAGTATCTTCATCAAGGGACTCTGTGAAGCTTTTCAAGTGATTGTAGTACATGCCTGGCAGCTGCTTGTTGGCATCCAGCATCTTCTCGATACACGACCAGAACCAGCTCCAAGCATTTTCATACTTCATGCTCCATTTGGCCTGCAGAAAGGCATGCAGTGTTCGCTCTTATCCTAGAGGTGTGATGACAGATGGACAGCTATGCCTGCGGGAAGAGCTACAACAAACATCTGCGAACATAGATTTCAGGTTTATGCAACATTGACAAGACGTAGTGACACTACAAGCTGCCGAGGTGAAAGGTTCTCTCGTGTAAATCCCCAATTCACCCGGGCCTGCAGCATGGACCTTGGCTGCACAAGGCAAGATCGGCACAGCTAGATAGGCCACAGGCAAAGAACAAAACATCTGACTGCTCAAACCCAGGCATGAGGCCGCAGGGATGCGAACATGACAGACTTGAAGCCGGGCAGGTCCAGCTGCTCGTGACGCGAATGGCGCCAAAGAAGTAGCGACAGCACATCACACTCCTCCTGCAACCGATCAATGTTCCCGACGTTGGGCACGAGGCTGTCAAGGGCGATGATCATCTCTGACAGCCACGGTCGGTCACCCACGCCCATGACGGAAGCATTAAATCGTGCCATCTCACCAAAACTAGTGGGCACATTCATGTTCTGGGCATCGGTCATGGTCCCCTCTTTCATGGTCTTGTTGGCCTCGTTACTTGCACGCTCCCCACTTTTCTTTTTCTCCGGAGTCGCGGCCTGCTCCTCGTTCTTTTCAGTCTCCTGTGCTTCCACTTGGCCCTCCTCTCCCTCCTCACCTTCAGCTAGACCTCCCTCGGCATCGGCCTCTGCTTCCTTGGAATTTTCCTGAACGACCACCCAGCTCGCTTCGAGGATCTTCAGGTTTGCCTTGTAGAACTCGCGTGTGTGTTGATATGATGCACCCACTGCATCCACAAGCCGTGTGACGCCGTACTGGAACTCCGGAGTCATCATGCCACCCAACTTGGACGCACAGAATTCAATCAAGAGCCCCTTGAAAGTCTCTATCTCTGCAGCACTGATGTCCTGATTCATGTGCCGCAGGGCAAGGTACTCCAGCTGGCCTGTGAACATCGACTGGTCGTGCATGGATGCTAACAGCCCATTCAGCTTCGACCATACCGTACTGGCTCGTTTCTGCATGTGCTCCGTCTTCGGGATTGCCGCAGAAACCTTGTGAAGGAACTCTTCGGCGGCCGCTTTGGGAGTTCCACAGCGGCGCTCCAAATTCTCCCACCCATTTCTCACCTGTCAATGCTGGACAGTAAACTGCTACCCAAGCGTGTCTGCACAGACTCTTCCGCGACTACGGCTACAGCTCGTTGGCAACTTGTAATCTCAACCAGCGCGCAGTTTCCACATCACACTTTCTAGCATCTTAGCTTGTCGTGACTGTGACGCCCTTCCGCCGACCCCCCACACGCACAATTTGCCATGGAAAAGAATAAGCCCAACACCCATCTCATTTCCAGACCTCTGGCACCGGCACGGCTACTTACAAGACTCAACAACGGGCCTCTCCAATCGAGTACTCATCAAGCTCGAAAGGTTCGAGCAAGTCCAAGGCTTCCATCGCTAGGCGATTTGGAGCCACTGCTCTCCATGAGCCGACTTCATTGACGGCTGCAGATGCACAGAGTCAAAGCAGGAAAGCATCAGCTCGCTTAAATCTACGGTCACGCCGCTAGGGCAGCATCTCGACTCCTAGCTCACAATCCGCCGAGTGGCCGCAACTTTCGCGCCCTTCGAGACACAAAGCTCCACTGTGCTCTCCCCCAGTCCGCTGGCACCACCAGTTACGGCGATCACGGCACCTTCAAGCTTCATGACCTCGCATCGAGATGTGCTGTGCTTACTACAAGCTCTGGGAAGTGGCACAGAGTGGGAGCGGTTTAGGTCTGGCCTCCAAAGCGCTGATCGGCGACCCGTCAGAAGTCCTACGCCCTACGCTTCTGCAAAATTGTCTGCGAGCTTTCCAGGGACGCACGAACACGGCTGCATTTATCTACCCTTCAGGAAGAAAACGGCCACACAAGCTGCAAAAAGTCGGCAGCACTTCGTGCTGTGGATTCCGGTTGGTTCCGCCTCATGCACCGGGGCCGGTACAGGCATGCGTGCTGCTTAAAGTGCCAGGCAAACGAAACCGACATGACATGTGCGAGTGAGTGATGGAAGGATGTCCTGGTTGCTGGGTTCCCAGGCGTTTGTGCTCTCGGAAGCCGAAGCCTCCGAAGACAAGTGCTAAGCATCCACGTCTCTCACGGCAGCTTATGACGCACACGGCCAATAGCGCAGCTTGCACCAAGCCATGCCTTTGCAAGGAGGTGCGCAGGGATGCTGGATGCCCCAGGCAACACCTAATTTTCGAAGCATGCCGCGTGCCGCAAATGCAACTACCTGCTAGTACCGGACCCGAACCACAAAGGGTGTGGGTAGAGCAAACACCATCCCCGATATCCACACGAATATGCAAACACCAGCCGCTACACAGCGCATACAGCGACGTGCACTCATGCATTGGTTATATGTATGTGTATAGCATATACAAAATACATTTATATTTATATACACACACAAACTTCGTTACAAAACGCAAAAGCCAAACTCACAAACCAACCAAACGAACGAACACACGAGCCAGTAACCAAACAAAACAGACAGACAGGCATAAATGTACGAACATACATAATCCTACCTACATACATGCATACCTACCTACATGCATAGACACACTTCACTTGCAATAGTTCATGAAGTTCATTCATTCCGCCAGCCAGTCAGTCGGTCAGTCAGTCGCGCACGCACAAAACGAACAAAAACAAATAAACAAAGGCTCAAACAACCAAACAAAGCAAACGAACACATAAACAAATGAACACAACACACACACACACACGCACATGCTCGCACACAGACACACACACACACGCACGCGCACACAAACAGGCAAACAGCAATGCGGTCAACACATCAAACAAAAAACAAACAACCGTCTGGACGGCCGGCAATCCTCACCCTGATAACATCTGTACCTTCCCCGTTAAGAGCTGCAGAAGAAGACATGAAGCTTTGTTTCTATGAAAGTAGAGATGCACGACATGAATGCTTAATGACGAGCAGCAGCCTTTATCTGTGAGAACGGAATCTGCGGGCAGCACTTTTAGAGACTTCCTGGTGATGCCGGGCTTTCTGCAGACAGGACCTCACGGGGGCAAAGTGGCCGATCAGATTGCAAATGCTCCGCACCAGCACATTATCACAAGTCAGATGCTGCAGGCTAAGAAAGATAGCAATGAAAGTCCACGTCGTGGGCATGCACTGGCACATAAGTAACGCTCACTCGAAGAATAGGGATGCGCTTCTGGGCGCTTGGAACGCGGCATTCCCCATGGCACCTCAATCAAAGCCCGCATCACACCATACCAACCAAACAAGAAAACAAACAAACAAACGGAGTTCTTGCAATGCACAGGTCGAGCACAAGTTGGCCAATAAATGCAAGTTGCTGCTTGATGATCTTGTAACAACACTCGCGACAGAAGATGTGGCCGCACGGCCTGGGCAGCTGCCGTGCTAAAGTAGCATTCTGTCCCGCATGCGAGATTCCCTTGGCCCCGATGTTACGAAGAAGGGAACATCTGAAGCACCGAGAGCAAAGCGTCAAGGTTGAATCTTGCGGTGTGTCGTAGCCTCGAAACACTAGCACAGAAACACTGCAACAGACAAACAGGCAGACAAGCACACGCACACCTACATCCAATGCCAGGCTTGCATGAGGACCGTGCATATTGCGCAGTCATTGTGCTCCCCATTTCGAATCTCCTCCCGCGCTGTGAAACTCTTGGGGGCCAGTATTCGTGGGCACATGTTCGGTTGATGGTTCGACCCGCTGAGTCACAAGTTTCACGGCTTCACAGACAACAATATACCGTGCTCACACAACGAAGAGTCAGGAGCACCTGGGCACATAAAAGCAACAGCAGGTGACTCCTGGAGGAGAGTTGCCACGTAGGCCTCAGAGACTTCTTCCCCACTGACCTCGGCGAGGTACCGCCTGGCCCACAGGATATCTCTTGCGAAAAACTCCTTAACTACTTGCTAGCACGTCAGCCGGCTACCTGGGAGCTCTTGGGTCTCTATCTGCAGTGATAGGATCACGGACAAGATGTGTTCGGCGTTCTAGGAAGCGATACAACTGGTCTTCTGGCCTCTGGTCCACTGGCATCTCGGCAAACCAATCCGCTCAGGCTGACAACATAAGGCTCCACTCCAGTACTCTCGGCTGTCATTTTGCAGCTGCATGGCACTTGAATTTGTACTTCCGCAAGCTGCTCGAGCTTTTGGTGTGAAGCCGTTTTTTTGCGGGCACAAATGTTCCGGTCCCGAAGGCTGTTAGGCAGCCATCTAACCTAGGATAAAACCGGTCTGACAGTCTGACCTACTCAGCGCATGGCACGGCTCAGGGGCCGTTGAGCCAATTGTGTGTCATCGGCTCTGCATTGTGGCCCGCGGATCACGCTCATATTGTTTGCTGACTTCCTGTACGTTTTTGGTTTCGCTCATTGTCGCTACTCCTGTTCTGATTGACCGCTGGCCGCTTCGCAGGCAGCACAGTTGAGACTATCATAGCCCAGCCATGCCAAGCCTCTCCAAGGACTCCATGTCCTCGTCCTTGCTGCCTGCCCTTGCAAACCTTGGCACAGGTCCAGGCTATCAAGACGTGCTGGGCACAGCTGCACATTCGACTCGCGACCATGCGTCTCCTTCTTTCCCTCAACATGACTCCAGTGTGCAGGGATACAGTGTTGGGACAGAGCTTTCCGCTTGCCAGTGCGTTCTCGCCGGTCGGCTGGAGGGCTAGAATTTGTAGTGCGAGCTTCTGCTAATCTTGCCAGACATGCGTGGTGCACACAGAATTCCGCGCCCTGTCATCCAGTGTCAGTATATGGACAGGGCGTGCTAGACGTCTCCGAATCTGAGCTTCGAGCACCAGGAACGGGTGGCAAAGGGCCTCCGACACAGAATTAACACAAGGCGCTGCCAGCTGCTGGCTGCGAGGTGCGCTCCATGCTCATGTGCATGCGGCCAGTTCTGCCACGAACAGAACGCTGGCTTGATCAGGGAACACGGCCTGCCGCAACTTCCCGATCAACTGGAGGATGTGGGTATACTTCCTGGGCCCAAGCACCATGCGACCAGCACCAGAAAATGCGCCTAAACGAGTTCGCAAGCAGAGCTTTCTCAAAATGACTGCGCCATGGAACGATGAGAGACATGACAGCGGGATGTTTGTAAGCAGAATGCGAAAGCACCTCTCCCTTCTCCACGAAGGTGTCAAACCTCGGTCGCATGAAACCATCGAAGCAGGTCAGCTCTGCATCTGCGGCTTATGAAAACTCGGCAGATCCATTGCTCACCGACGGCACACTCATTGAATGTGCCCCGCCAGCGTCCGCTAGCGCAAAGATGGTACGAGCTCAAAAGCAGCCTCTTGGGACGGCGCTCCGTCTTCGCCTTCCGCCACAGAGTGTCGTAGAAGTCCCTCTCCGCTGGCGAGAGCTCCAAGTGCTGTACCTCCATGCAGCTAAACCCTTTTGCCTAAACGCTAAACCCCACGATCCATACAATCTGAAAGCAGGGGCACATGAACGTGCTTCATGGGCAGCTTCAGCAGTGGCTCTCCTGTTTGCGGGTTAACCTCAGAGCACAGAGAATAAGACCACCCGAAGCAAAGGGATTGTCATCAGTATCCCTCTACATGTCCAAATCTCGATCAGCCCAGCGGATCAACTCTTTCCACATCTGTTGCTCTTCTGCCGACTTCTTGGGGAGTTATTACATCACATCAGGGCACAGGTGAAATGGGCAAACCAATTTTGCTTGCCATGCCCTTATCAGGGCATCTGACATGAAGTGCTTTGGTTGTGCTCTGCGTGGGCATGACAAAACAAGTAGATCATCATGACAGCTCTAGAAGGCGTAAAGCTGCCACTAAAGGTCACCACCAAAGCAGAAACACTGCCCAACAACTCCAAAGTTAACATCTTACCGAGGCCACCAAGGTATGGTGTATCGCGTTTACTGTAGAGTTGCCGTGGCAAGTCTCCATTAGTTCCAGACTGCGCCTGCCTGCAGCGTTCTCAGATAATTGGCTTGAGCACACAGGCCGGAAAATCTTCCGAGTGTGAGACAATGCGGCTTCACCAGTCTTGCCTCTCCAGTTAGTCTTCGCAGTTTTGCCATCTGCCGGGCAATGGATGAGCCTATCCCGAGCGTAAGCCCATCCCCGAATTAACTGCAGCTCGGGTATGCATGAAACGGTGCGAGGCTTTGCCTAACCACACCACCTCAACCCGACTGGCTGAGAAGCTATCACTTCACTTGCCTCGGAGTCAGCCAGAAATTGCAGTCACGAACAGCAGACCACTAAACTTCGTGCATCTCCCAATCTGCCTGCTGAACCCCGACATCATCCAGCATTTCAGTTGCAGCGATGTGCACGTTGCAGACCAGCCGCTCGCCATCATCATCCGAACGAACTCATCATAGTTGATGAGCCCGTCCCCATCAAGATCGGCTTCCCGGATCATCTCATCCACCTTGCAGGTGTGCCGATTCTCTGTTCGGCTTGCACACTGGGCCGAACCGTTCCCCACGTGTGCACGGGCATCTTGCTACAGGCCTCAGTGTCGTTGAGTTTCTCGCCCAAGTTCCTGAAGAAAGGGCCGCGAGGACAAGACGGCTTGGCTGCTCGTTGTCCAGGGGCATCAACACGGGCATGCTGTTGGACAGGGAATTCGAGAGACGAAGAGAATGACATGCCAATACACATGCAGATGAAAGTGAGCGCACGTGCATTCAGACACTGCCGATGCTTGCCGGGGCCAGTACGTCATGGATGTTCGAAGCTCGCTAGCAGAAATGAAGCCATCGCGATCGCGATCAAAGACCTCCGCAAAGCTTCAACTACAAGAGGACATCACGGGGTAAACCGTGCACCGAGCACATCGGAGGTATGCAGAGGCCTTGAACGCTTCGATGAGTTCTTCTTCCGTGTCTGTCTCCTCTTAAAGGAGCAGGAGCAGTTGAACGAAGCCACAAATCAACGTCTTCACAGCAAAATGGGGCAACAGGCAACAGGCAGGCTTTCCTTGAGCTTTCTGGACATGAGGGACAGGAAGGTGTGGAAGTCGATGCGCGTGCTGAGAGGGCAAAGGCTTTGCTTTATTCTTGTGCGAACCCATACTGACATACCGAGCACAAACATACACACGCGCATGCATGAAACACACACATACATACACATACACATGCACGTATACACATACATAAACTTGTACTGAATGTGTATCTGAATCTGCAGCCTCGCAGACCTGACATAATGCAACATGGCACGGTATGATGTATGTACACATGCGTGCGAGGGTGTGTGTGTGTGCTTGACATATAACAACAAGAGCAGCAATGACTATAAAAAACAGGAGGGGGATACCAGGAAGAACTAACACTAACTACTCATGAGCGCCTAAGTACATTTGATGCATGCGTACACATGCGCGAGTATACCTGTATGGAAAGCATGTGTTATATATATATATGTGTGTGTGTGTGTGTATGTAAGTATGTATGCATGTATGCATGAGGGTATGTATATATGTATACATACATACATACATACATACATACATACAAACATATACACATATACACACAGACATAAGCACCTGCACACACATACATACCTGCCTACCGACAGCCTACCTACCACATATAGCTTGCAGACATGCATACATGCATGCATACGTACACATACATCCTCCATCCATGCATCCATCCATGCATCCATCCATCCATACATACATTACACACAAACACAAAGATTACGAATACATGCAGTCAAACATGCACACGTACAGGCATACAGGCGCATACGTATATGCTTAAACACATGGTGCATAAATGCAAAGCTGCCTACATGCATACAGCGGTACACGCATGAATGCACACATACATACGTGCCACGATGCCAACGTACGTACGTACATATGCACGTACGTACGCACCATACGTAGCTGGAAGCGCAGTGTCGTGGTGGTAGTTACTGCTAGTTGTTGTTGTGGCTGCTGCCGTGGTTGTGGTTGTTCTTCTTCTTCTTCTTCGTCTTTTTCTTCTTGCTGCGGCTGCCGCTGCTGCTCTTGTTCTTCTTTCTCTTCTTATTCACGGCGGGGTGTTATATGATGACAGACGGGGTTGCCGGAAGTTTCCTGATTCCCCCTCAACGTCGGATGCTGTTGGGATCTGAGGCGGAGTTATCTATTTAATGTGTGTATATGTACCTGTGTACATATCCGTACACATATATATATATATGTACATGCGTACATACATATGATACATATGTATTCATTCTGTTGGTTTGTTGGTTTCTTTGTCTACATAATATACTATATACAAGCCTGCAGATAGCAGGTACACACCTGACATCTGATGATGTTTTGCACGTATGGTGGATGTAAGAGATCGCAGTAACGGCAGGCCGAGAGGCTCATGCTCCCCGTCACCACCAATCCAGTCTTGCAGCTCTTGTTCAGTCGGGTTTTGGCCAAGCGAACCTTCAGAAAGGACAGCCACAGTCGTCCTCTAGAGCACTGAAACTCGTGTGGAGCTCGGTAGGCAACGAAAGCTTGAAAACTGTCCAAGTCAAGCCGAGACTCTGAGCAAAGTCCCAAACTCCTGCAAGAAGAACCAGCTCACACGTGCAAAACGAAGATCCAAGGTTCTAGCTTCTGCCAGGTGTGCGCATGTCCTTCAAGGATAGCTTGTCATCCTTGTCCTCGTCAAAGAGCTTGAAAGTCTCGTAGAACTCGCCTCGAGTCGGATGCTAATGTTTTTTGACACGCTACGAACTGGCTGACAAAAGGACACCCTTCTTTCGGAGACCCGATGTAATTACAATGATACTCGCAGGGTGTTGTTGCTACACAGCATGAACCACATTCGAGGAGCAGTTGAAGAGACATAAAGCTATTCTCTGAGGGCAAGGTGCTGATCTGCTCGCGCACGAGCGCGTCAGCCATGATTAGATCCAGGTGTGGCTGACAGTCAAAGCTGCTTTGAGCCCAGCTTTTCCGCGAGCACTGTTGAACTCTTGTTTCCCTGCACTGCAGGGCTTCAAGGCGCATTTCTTTCATGGTGCTTCCTTAAGTCACCAGGGTTGACATACGTACTAAGCTGGATGCAGTGGATTTCGTCCGCCGCAGAATCAACGGTGTCACCTCACCCCAGCTGGCTCTCGCAGAAAGAAGCTGTTGTAGGCGTAGGTACAGTACATTGTGACGTCGTAGGTTAACTTGTCGAATCAAAACAATGCAGATCGCCTCGCTGTCGCTGCAAATGCTACAGCTCGGCGGCTCCAAGAGAGCTCATGGGCTAAGTGGCTCCGTCGGCTCCGGCCCGGTATTCTTCAGAATAGAGCCCGCCCCTCGGCCCCGGACAATGCGCCGAGCAGTGTCCAGTGCCTGTGTCATGGCATCGGGATCACCGTGGCGCCCTCGGTGCAGAATGGTGCAGAATCTCACTAGGAAACGTGTACGAGGGTGAACGCTGCTCGTTTAGCTGCAGCCTGCTGGGCTGCAGAGACCAAAGCCTCTCGCCTGCTGTCAAGGCCATTCAGGCCCCGACCACGCTCCAGAGGTATCGCCTGAGGCTCGTTGGATGCATAAACAAGTCGGCCAGAACACACACACACACACAGACACACACACACACACACTGCAATGCAACTCACAGCCACATTGTGCGGCCAATCTGTCTGATTCTGTTCGTGCCTGCATGGCTCTCGATTCTCGGAGTCGCCATCCGTTTTCCGACCAGTCACCAGCAGGCTAAGACTGCTGCAACAGCTTTGCGCCAGCACGGCCATGCGCACCAAGGCTCCACACCTCTTGCTGGGAGCCCTCTCTTAAGATCCCAAGTGTGTGCAACCATGCTCCATGTCGACAAGTTCCGAGCGCAAGAATCGTACCGTGGAGTAGAGCTCCTCTACACTGTTCTGAAGAGGCCTTGGCCCAAGAGCTCTCACCAAGAGTGCGCTCTGTGCCGCGCGCTCCTGGGTTTCCAGCGTGCCTGTGACACACCTCATTTTGTCACGCTGCAATCACCATGAAACGCTTCAGCGCTGGCACCACGAGCACATGGCCATCTGCAGAAGCCTCGCAACTGGAAAGCCGCCTGTGCTTGCCTGCATCTGATCGCAACTAAACGTTCGTGTCTTGCGTAGCATCATGCATCAGCGGCTGCAAGACGGCCTGCTGCAACGGTTCTTGATGCTATGGGCCTGGCGCGATTCATCAAGTGCTTCGTCTGGGTCATCCAGCTCAGGAAAATCCCGCATCGTGGTGATTCTTGTTGCGATGGCTGCTACAGGCATCAACTGCATGTCCGAAAGCCGGGTAGAACAGTTAAATGCTCTGTGGCATCTGGCAATGTCGAGTAAACTGGCGACAAGTCAACCCTGCAGCACAATCTAACCGAAACAGCAGAACTCACCCTGCAACTCAATTTCCAGCCCAGCCTCGCCAGGGTTTAGAGGCTAGCAAGGATCGCATCTCTATAGGCACACTCAGGACATGATTCAATCGAAACACGGGCGAGAGGGCACCTCATCGAGGATGATTCTCCTGCTCACGCACTGGCAGGGACAAGTTGAGTGGTGATCAATGAGATTCAACTTACGGCACTTACACGACTGCCCTCCGATCCCGATTTTAGTTGTGCATCTCTGTGCCAAGAGGTGCCCGACAGTTGGCTCACTCCTCCAGTACACCTGGAAAAGCAATGAATCTTGTGGTTGGGAGGCCAACCTGAGATGCGCAGCATGAATGGCCGGCATCAGGACTCTAATAGTATAGGAATATTGCTCGCCCTAACAGGCCCTACAAACATTGAGTCCCTGGCGTATTGTAGGTGGTCAAAACGATCTTGGCACGAGGGCGCGTGCGCATGTACACAGACCCAGTGCATCCTGAGAAATCCCAGCACAAAGCATCCCGAATCCATGTTCCAACTTTTGCAGTTGGTTCACGTACACCAGCCGGCACGTCAACTTCTCCCACCATCCTCAACAACCCGCCAGGTTTCGACCACTTCAAGTTTGCACCCCACTGGAAGGAGTGGCTTTTTCAGAATGGCAAGGCAACGCTTGACAAGTTCTTTGCTCCCCCAAGCCACAGCTCATGGCAAATGCAACCGACAGCACTGACACGTCAGCGGTAGAGGGTCTTGCGAGAGAACGACAAAAACTCTTCGAAGTTTTGTCAGCCGAAACGCCTTCGAGGTTGTCCAAAGGGGTACCACATGCGTCGCAAAGGGAAATACTGCTCGTGTACCCCTTGGATCCAGGCTCCGGTGTTTCGCAGCTGCTCCAAGGAGATGTTCTTGCCTGCGGCATGTTCAAGATGTTCTCCGGAGTTTGACGAAGCCGCTTTACTTCTAGAACAAAAGCCCCCGTGTTTCGCCGAGAGTTGCAGAGCAGAGTGCAGGATGTAGCCAGGTTGAGGATTGATGTCGAGGGCGTAGGGCCTTTATCCCAGAGTCGTAGAGAATATCTTTGGCTTGTAACAGCGGCTTACATGACAGCCTTTCCACTTCCTTCATGATTTCCAAAGGCTCAGGAGCAGAAAAGCCATGCATTGAAGCAAGTTACGAAGGGCGGAAGCTCGGGACATGAAACCCTGAAACTCCCCAGCCCCTAAATCCTAAACATTCCTAAACCTCACACTTCTCACCACTTTGCCATGACTTCTGCGATCTTCTGCGCAACCTCTAAGGAAATCCTCTGTTTGCATCTTGCACAGAACGCTGCGAATGGAAAAGTTAGATGCGTTCGGCAACACTTAAACACAACCCGGTCCCAGCACAACAGCAAGAATGGGCCAGAATTAGCCGTGCAGGAACCTGAACCGTGGAACTCATGGATCGATGGGACGGCTGAATCGAAGAAGTGCTTCTGAGCCTGCACGGTTGATTTGGCACACTCTTCCGATCCCCAATCATGCCAGCCTCCGAGAACCACTGCCGAATCAGCGAGAGCGGCGCTACCTCGCTGAGAAGCTTTCCCGACTCCATGACCAGGTGCTGTTCTCTCTCTCTTGTAGGGGTAGGCTCATCTGACCGGTTTCCCTCACTGTCGCATGGCTAGGCGGCGCTAAGCCTGTGAAGTGGGCTCTCAGGGCCCGGCAACCAGAACACCACCAACCCCGCCCGCGTCTTGCCTCTCAGGCAGGACAATGCGTGTTCGGGCAGTTGGGGTGTGCTTCCAAGCTCGGCGCTGAAAGAATGCGTTCTTCTGGTTAGACGAATCGGCTTCCTCCCAACTGATCAAAAGACTGCATGGATGACATGCCTACCTGTCGCTCATGTGCTATCCTGCATGCTGCAAGTGGGCCAGAGCAGGGCAGGACAGGGCATGATGCAGAAGCCAAGAAGCGGCAGATGTCCTCCAGCATTCGAAGCTCCGGCGCAGCCTTCCGAGCCTGGCCGCCCAAGGAGTCTCAAGAAGATAGAAGCACAGAAGCACAGAGTTGTTGAGCCCTCAGCTGTTGGCACGCTGCAGGGGCCGCAATCCAGCGCGGTCAGTGCCAGGCACATAACCTCTAACAAAGCGAAAAAGATTCGCCGCCACTCAACGACAGTCTCACACGGCTTTAAGCTGGCAGCGGTCTTGCCCAAACCCATGTCATCGGCCAGTATGCCCCCACGGCAATGCCTCCACCCAGCTATGATGACAAGACCTCTCCTTTGTTTTGAGCAATATGAGGCACGAGCGCCAGAGCCGCGTCTGGAAAGTCGAGCGACAAGGCCTGGACAAGTAAAGTGAACTACAAAGTCTGGACTATCTGCACGCTGTCTGAATGAAAGTAAGCTCTTCGCTGCCACATGCTCGTGCTAAGATTCAAGCGCCGGTGGTGCGATGGTAGTACAGGTAGCGTGTTGACTCCTTGCCTGACAATAACACGACGGCACCCTGACGGATGCTTTTCAACGGCCCTCTTGCCGCCAGACCTCCGGGCAATGGACCTGTCTCCTCCGGCAGCTCATACTCATCCTCGGAATGCTCTCAGGCTCTGGGGCGGGAGATGGGAGAACAGAACTGTACCCTGGGCATGGGACCCACATGGGATGCAGCTGCCTTTCATGAGGCGGCCTCGGCACAGCCAGGAAATTGTGATCTTTCACAACACAAGGCAAGCTGCAGAATGCCTCGCAAGCAATCTATACGACAGCCTGCAGGCCTTCCAAGCTCTTGGCTCCTGTGCGGCTTGCGACCTGAGATGGAGTGACAAGTGTGCGAGCAGACGAAGAAAGACGGCACAGCGACAACTCATGAGCCCCGCACGTTTTTGGACTTGCACAGGCTTCAACCTCCAAAGCGTAGGCCCACCGTAGTTTAGACAGCAACGCCAGAGTGCCAAAGAACGTTTAGCAATCGGAGCGACGAACTCAATCTTCAAGTGCGACATACCTGAACGACCTAAACTTTACTTAGGCCTTGGCACTGCCATGAAGACGAGACAACAACCGCATCAATCACCACATGCAACATCGAAGGTCAATTTACGGGTTGCCTCTTCGTCTCTGTGCGGATCAGGATTCTTGTAGCACGACAGCCTGAGCAAGAATGAGCACACAGCTTTGGCAGCTGTCGACGGGTCCACTCGGCTGGGCTTTCTGCAGGGACGATGTGGGGTTCTCCCTTTGCCACATCCAGAACCTGAAGTTCGCATTCCGCTTGGCGTGTCAGTGAGATGGGAAATATACCACGACTCCGACGACATGAGGTCCTGACACCGCCTGAGCCTGGTATGGTCTCAGCCTACCCCACGCTTGTTGTGTCGAAGCACGCATCTCATGAACTCTTCAACCATGAGCCCGCCTCGTCTCAAAAATGCCACTTGGCAAGACGATCCCGGGCAGATCATGTCGCTCAAGCTGGTCACCTTGCCACGGAACCCTCAGCAGAAAGTGCATTTCAAGCAGAACACCTTGACCGATCTTGGGGCGTGGCTTCTACCTAGCTGAGCTGCAGCAACTCTGGACCTCACGCCACAGGAAGAGCCCTGCATTCAGCCTACGCTGCACTGCCAAGTTACCAGCTGCCAACAAGCCCGAGTGGATGGCATCTCCTCTTCCTCCTCCGGCTCCTCCTCCATGCCTCCTGAAACCAGCGTGGAACTTCTCACTTGTGCTCTCAAAAATGCTTGATTGCTTCTTGGCTTCTGGTTGATGTCACTAGTAAGTCGCCCTTAAAATGAAAGTGGGACGTGTTCTCAAAGGCACAGTCTTCTTGGCCTTCGGCTTTGGGCGGCGGCTCATCCGCCGCATTGACCATCACGTCGCCCTCGAAGGCAGCACGCCGACGGCAAGGCAATTTCAACCTTAGCTCCGACAAGCCCGGGCAAAACGGCAAGCGGAAGCAGGTGGCAGACCAGGGCGCGGGTTCAGAGAAATCCAGAATTGATAAGAAAGCGCTTTAACAAGCACTGTTGCGAGATGTACATGCAGCTTCTTTCAGTTGATTTGAGACCAGGACTTGTCCAATAACATGCTTGTGGACGTACGCTGAATTTCTTTGTCAGCCTCTTCTTTGTGCACCTGATGTCGCAGGTTTCGCAGGTGTGCAGGAAATTTCGATGGCACTGGTCAAGAACCGAGTCGGCGGCTGCTTTCTGATTCTGTCCTTTGGACTTGCTTTTAGCATTCTCTGCTTCCACGGGCTGGCCAGTCTGGGCAGTGACAGTGCTGGCAGTGCTGGTGCTCTGCCCCGGGGTTCGCAAGGCAACAGACCGCAAGGACACGCGCACCACGACCGGTAGGTCGGTGCCCAAGTCCAGAGCTCGGGGTGGATCCCTGCCAACCACCGCCTCCACGTCGATGAGCCGCCGGGCGAGGAGTGGAACCAAAGTCTTGTTCGCGTCCGCTGAGAAACGCCCCACCTCTTGACCACAAGCATCGAAGCGGATGGTTCCTGTCTCTGCACCCACCTGCGACGAAGCTGTGCCAGGTCGGGCCCGTGACTTCTTGGCCTCAACGGCCCACCTCAGCTCCAGTCGCCGCCCCGGGCACAGGAGCGGTCCGTAGCTGCCGTCGGCGTCCCCTGTTGGGAAGCGCTGCTCTGCCCCAAGCCGGACCGTGCTCCACGCTTTGAATTGGACACTGCCCAAAGCCATGGACCACTCGATGTTGCAAGTGCGGCTGCGGGCAGGCTTTGCCGAAGCCTCCAAGCTGCGGGGTCCGGAGGTCCGGCGCTTCTTCGGTGGGGGGTCACTCGTTTCCGGCTTCGCCTTCATAAGGCCCAGGAAGCTACCCCGGCCCCGGCTGCCGCTGCTAGCACTTGGCACTTGCGCAACTTCTTGTGCCTCTGATGCTGCCGCTGCTACTGCTGCTGCTGCAGCTGCTGGTGCTGCTGCTGGTGCTGCTGGTGCTGCTGGTGCTGCTGGTGCTGCTGGTGCTGCTGGTGCTGCTGGTGCTGCTGGTGCTGCGACTGCTGGTACCTGCAGCTGCACTTTGCCCTCCTTGGTGCATGCGACCATCAAAGAGATGTGACCAACTTGTCTTCACTATGTGCTCAGCTACAGGAAAGCTTGCAGCTCAAAGTCGACTGGCTTTGCCAGCAGGTCGTCGCCATCCGAGTCATCTAGCCTTGCAAAACCCAAGAACTACCAAGAACTACAGTTAACCAGAAACCCACAGTGGTCCCAGGTTTTCCGTGGCTTGCGTCCTACATTCCTACATGCAACAAGTTGTCTAGGAAGTTGAATTCCTTGCACACCCTCCCCAAATGTCGTACTATGTCCGGTTCCCAGGCAGATGAAGGTTGCAAAGCTTGGGTGCCAAGGGGTGATCCCCAGTGCCCAATCTAGGCTGATTCACCGGCTGATCCTCCGTGCTCCTGCTATACATAGTCAACAACGTCCGCTACTCCCTCACTTACTGCCTCTGCTGCCACCGCAGAGTGTGCAAGCAAAAAGAATCCAGCTACCGGTTCCACACAAGCAGGACGTCAACCAACAACAAGAAGTTCAAAAGTTACAGAGCTGACGCTGTGCAAGGGGCTCAATCTCTATGGTCTTGCAGGGCCGCGCCGGCGCCGTTGCGGGTGCATCGAGGAGAAGATTCACTGCTGCAGCTAGATCACCACCTTCCACTGGACAGCTCTGGAGGATACTGAAGCTACTTGCATCGCGGCCTGACCGCTGCCATGCCGATGCCAGTGCATCGTCAGGCAGGCCTGCTCCCACGACCTGCAACCGGTTCTCTTACCTGCTGAGCCCAATCATCAGATCCCGTCGGCCTCTCGGAGCAGCACCAGCTGCGCAGGAGGAGCCCCCATGCCAGGGCCGCCCTGACATGCACCTGGAAGGACAGCTCAGGCCATCTCTGCGCGCCCAACAAAAACTCCGAAACCCGGGAGTGCCTCCGCCCCAAAGCCTTCGGACCACAGCGGCCCCGGCTCGAGGAGTCAAGCAGAGACGTTGAGGAACAGATCTGAGTCTTTACAGGTGCTCGGCGAATACGCACACATGTGCCCGTGACGTGATGGAGCTTGATGTGAGCACTTCTCTTATGCAAAACTGCAAAACTTACGTATGCAGAATTGCGTAGTCACATCCTCGAAAATGCTAGCACAAGGTCCGAATTTGGCACAATGGCTATTCAGCCCCGCATTGGGTTTATGAGGAGTGGAGCTTGAGCCGAGAGCACGCAAAAGGGAAGTTCTTGCCAGATTTGCCAACACCGCTTGGTCACGGACCGGTCATTTCGACACGACGGCGTGCGTCCGGCTGTATACAGCTGCGGAAATGCAGCACTAGGCATCCTCACACCATCGATTCTCTTCCCTGACCTCGTTGCAGGAGGCAAATGCCCAGCTTGTCACATCTTTGTGGATAAAACTGCACGGCCTGAGCCTCCTCTTCGGGGGTAAAATCGTTGACGATGTTGAACTGCTTGCCTTGCATCCAGGCACGACCGGCTTTCAACGCTCACCGTGCCTAGATTCCAAGAGGCTTGATATCCGGTTGCAAGCAAGATGCGAATCTCTTCGGTGTTCTTGCCCTTGATCATGGAGGCGACTTTCGCGCAGGTGAGGTCCAGCAAGCTCTTTATGTCCAGATAGTTGGCCGCCAGGATCAACTCAAACAGGACCTCGCCAAATGCAAGTTCAGAGAACTCCCACGAAACAGCATAGTGCGCCTCCTGCTCAATGTTCACGTACTCGCTGTCCCACTCCGATACACCGCACTCCACCAGATTGGTGCTCTTCAGCGGCTTTTGAATCTCCTCGGGAGGGTTGTCCTTGTGGTACTTGCAATAGTCAATTACCTGGCAGTCGACGCTAAGCCATTCCGACAATTCAAGCGGTTGATGCTTAGTTGAAACATGCGGCCGGACCTTGCTGAGTATTGCAGTCTTTACGTTCGGCAACGGGATTTCCTCATCCGTCCCACTGTCCTGTGTGAGGCTACCGAGACTTTCTGCCTACGAGTGTCATTGAAAGCAGAGACCCGTTGTCTGCTACGGCGCTGTGCTTAAACAGCCAACCGCTAAAAATCCATCTCCTCGACCATGTTCTTGATCAGGGTCGACATGGTAGCAACCTGTCAATCAAGGTCTTGTCTGAAGCCTGTGTCGGCCCCCTGTACTTCGCATCCGGAAGAGCCTCAGGATCGACCTCAAAAATCTCACCCTGGGAGGACTTCAGCTTCAGCTTGTCACCATCCGCCATGGCGCAAGACTCGAAAGTGAGCTGCCTTTCACGTGGCATTCCAGCAGCTGGCCCACTGAAGAGCAATAGGGCCCCGGCTCTTCAGGAAGATCGGCGCGAAAGAGTCCAGCTGCCCGCTCTATTCGTGCATTGCATCCATGATCCGAGCAGCAGCGGATGGGAAGAACTACGGGATTTCAGTGACCGCAGCAGGGCCCACACACGGCCCGCCCGGCTCCAAGAACCACGTTTTCCAGCATGGAAGGGCTCGATCCGAATTGGAACTAGCGTGCACAACACTGCTCCTAGCAAGCAGCCTTACACTCAGCTCTTGCGGCCGAGATCAACCCTTCCGGGATGGCCATCCAGAACTACACTTGGTAGACCCAGGGGTAGGGTGTCAACGAGCCTAGGCATCCTCACACCATCGGTTCTCCTCACGGACCTCATGGCCACGACAGCAAATGCATGGCTGCTTCAGCAAGTGCATGGCTGCTTGGAGCCACCGTGTCCAGACGGGTTAGCACCCCCAAATCTAATGCACCTGCGCTTCCTCCTCAGGGGTGAAATCGTTGACGATGTTGAACTGCTTGCCTCAATCGCAGTTTCGCAGAACAAGCAGCAGGATGTGAAGCCAAGCAGAGCTGTGACCCATGTGGGCCAACTTCTTCAGGGCATCACTCCATGACCGGACCATGAATGCAAGCGAGGTGAGAGGAAGTAGACAAAACCGTAGTGGCGAGATGCGAATTTCTTCGGTGTTCTTGCCCTTGATCATGGAGGCGACTTTCGCGCAGGTGAGGTCCAGCAAGCTCTTTATGTCCAGATAGTTAGCCGCCAGGATCAACTCAAAGAGGACCTCACCAAATCCAAGTTCAAAGAACTACCACAAAACAGCATAGCGCGCCTCCTGCTCAATGTTCACGTACTCGCTGTCCCACTCCGATACACCGCACTCCACCAGATTGGTGCTCTTCAGCGGCTTTTGAATCTCCTCGGGAGGGTTGTCCTTGTGATACTTGCAATAGTCAATTACCTGGCAGTCGACGCTAGCAGTCATCCCTGTTCCGCTACAAACGAGACGTGGCACCTTGCTGAGAATTGCAGTCTTCACATTTGGCAGAGGGATCTCCTCGTCCGTGCCACTGTCCTATTCCCAGCAGGCAAGAAACACAATCGGCAACAGTTCAGGACGTCCTCGACCATGTTCTTGATCAAAGTTGACATGGTCGCTACCTGCCGGTATGGCGCCGCACTGCGCAAAAAGGGCTCTCTCTACAGATCTCCTCAGGGTCGACTTCGAAGATTTCCCCCTGTGAGGACTTGAGCTTCAGCTTGTCCATTGCAGCTTGGGCCGGCCTTGGTTTGGCACTGGTCGGCAGCGGGGTCCCCCAAGCTTGCGCTTGTGATTTCAGGTTCTGCGTCTCAATCCTCCCCAGGTTGTGCTAGGAAGTCGTGGTTGCACTGTTAGCCTTACCCCAAAGCCGCTGCTGGGATGTTAGACAGTGTTATGAGAGCCCAGGCGATTGTGCGGTCTTCCGGCCTTGCAAAGGGTCCGCCAAAAAAGCAGCGTCTCACAGCCACAGAGAACAAGAGACGTAGCACACCCCGGCAGCAAATCCCGCCGGCGACATCAACCGGACAAGCTGCCGGCCCCCCGCTTCGATCCCCAGACCAGGCCGAAGACAACCGGATCCGCCCTGCCCTGAAACAATGCTTGCCACTGAGGTCCCAGCGCGGCTTCTGCTGCTTGGGAATGGGGCTGCAAGCCAAATGATACTGTATTGGCGAGGACAATGCAAGATCTTCCAACATCTTCACGCATGGCATAAAACTGTCTTCCTGATTGCACGCTTTGCCCGACAATACAATGCACACCCGGCTGATTTTCCTTCATTGCAGCAGAAATACTTCTGCGGCTTGTTCGCACTCTCGGCAAACTGTTTCGGCTTTCATTTCTCTGTAAATGCCCGCGAGAAGATGATCAACGCCACATTGTTCGCAGTGATTCAGTAGTGCCACAACACCATTCAGGCGAGCTTAGTGTGGAATTCGACCTTCAAAAGAATAGACAATTGCGCACAAGACATTTCAGCCATTTTTTTGAAATTTACAGTCTTTGTTGATTGCATGACGACAGAGGCCGCATGGCCTGCTGGCTCTTGTATGTCTTGCGTCCAGCCCAGGGAGCATTACGTACGTTACTTGAGCTATTGAAGCCGCTCGTACGTAGTGCACGCAATGCTGGATGCCAAATTGAATGTGCAACAACAGTTGCTGCCGTGATATGCACAGAGTTCACACATGGTCTCCTCGGAGACCGCCGGTGCTCTCATGTGTCCAACACTCTCTCTGGCGAGACACAAAGCTGGTGGGAGTCACCGGCAAAATCGCAACGCATCTTGATAAATAAATCGAACAGACGCTTTCAGCGGAATTTAGATGACCGTCAGCGGCATCATCATTCCCCCACAAGATGGTCTGAAGACAAAGGAGTCAAGGTGCGACGACCTGACAGATTGCTTCGCACAGTGCTGGGCAGCAGCTCGAGCTGGCTGAGAATGAGGCTGAATCCCAGGCAGTTGCGCGTGTGCGGCCTCGGGTTCACCGGGCAGATTCAGATAGATTAAGTGTGTCCTCTCTACACTGACACGGACTCTACGTTGCCTGGGCAACAGAGGACGAGGACGATGATTTTGAGGAGGACGGTGTGGTGGATGAGGATGATGAAGGAGCCAAATCCACTTCGTAGAGTCTGGCAAGCTGCGCAGTGAGAACCTGCAATACAGGACGAAAGTAGAGCCTTCATATCTAAGGCCACCGCCACGTCCACCTTCCGCTTCTTGGCAAGAAGTTCAGGGTGCTCCACACAAAGGTTCTTGGCCATTGCCTGCAGGAAGCTGATTTTTTGAGGACGGTGGCTGTGGGCCTTGCTCATCAAACGCTGAGCCGGAGACTTGCACTTGTTCAGCACACGTAACTTCCTCCTTTCCTGGCAGCTCCTGGTGCGAACCCTCATGGCCAATTCCTCCACAGCCCAAGAAACAGGGTCTCTTGTACTGCGCCTTGTGCATGACGGATTCTGTGCCATCATCTTGAAGGATCTGCAAACCAAGTCCAGGCGGGGCCCAGCCTGTGCTACCACAAGCTTTGCGGTCGCTGCTCTTGGGGCCTCTGGTGTTCTTGAGACGGCGGCGCAGCAACAGCTTCTGCAGCTTCATCCTCAGGCAAGCACAGATAAAACGATCAGAGTTGTCTGGCCACGCAAGCGTCGCAAGCACAGCTCCCGCAACGCCTGCCTTGTGCGGAAGCGAGTTTGGCAGGGCTGCTACTGCGAGGGCCAGAGGCTGAAGCAAGTTTGGCAACGTTTCGTTTTGCACCCTTTGCAGTACGCAGGGATCAACAACAGCTCAATCAACTTTGTTTTATGTCTAGCCGATCTCTGTACACACCGGCAGAAAGCCGGGAAAGGCTGTTACCCTCAGCAGATCCGGCAAACTGCAAAGGATCCCCTGCGGCCAACACTACATGATGCTCTTGTCACGTCGCCATGCTGCCCATGAGGCTTGCATGGATAACGTCGTCTGAACCTGTGACTGGCATTGACTATGATTGTTACTATTAGTCAGGATGAATGCCCGGATGACATCGCAGGGTAAGCAAGATTGGGCTTGTTGCTAAACCCCTCGAATGCTGCAGCCTCACGCATCCTCACACCAGCGGTTCTCTTCCCTCACCTTCGAACCACCGCACAGCCAGAGCAACTTGCTGACGATGATACGATGTACCATCCACAGCATTAGTCTTTGCCTGGGCTTCCTCCTCGGGGGTGAAGTCGTTCACGATGTTGAACTGCTTGCCTTCGGGTCGACCCCAAACCCTCCTTTTGCTTTTTGTTGAATAACGATCTGTTCTAGCGCACTCGGAATGAAGTGACAAGCAAGATTGCGGCAAGATGCGAATCTCTTCGGTGTTCTTGCCCTTGATCATGGAGGCGACTTTCGCGCAGGTGAGGTCCAGCAAGCTCTTGATGTCCAGATAGTTGGCCGCCAGGATCAACTCAAACAGGACCTCGCCAAATCCAAGATCAAAGAACTACCACGAAACAGCATTTTGCGCCTCCTGCTCAATGTTCACGTACTCGCTGTCCCACTCCGATACACCGCACTCCACCAGATTGGTGCTCTTCAGCGGCTTTTGAATCTCCTCGGGAGGGTTGTCCTTGTGGTACTTGCAATAGTCAATCACCTGGCATTGGGTACTATTCCGTCACGGCTGCCCCGCACTCGGACACATGGGTGAAGGTTCACAGTTTCAGAGTACTTGCTCTTCCTTCCCTGTTTGCGTTTCCGTTTCGGGCAATCCACGGAGTATTCCGCGTCTCGATCCTCGTGATGCAATGGATTTTGGTGCACTGACTGGAGTATAGAGACCTCGGCCAAGACCACAGACATGTCATAGATAAACGAACATAGAGCATGCAACCCTGAAGAATACCTGCCCCTCATCCTGCCTTGCTCAGGATAGCTGTCTTCACATTCGGCAGTGGAATTTCCTCATCTGTCCCACTGTCCTCTTTCGCATGTGCCGTGACTTGTCCACTGCACAGCGAAGAACAGCGCAGAAGTTGTGGCATGTTTTTGCAAAATCCGCCGGAGAGTCAAGTCCTCGACCATGTTCTTGATCAGCGTCGACATCGTCGCAACCTGGCGAGAGTAAATGTCAGCATCACATGCCGTAGCCTTTGGCTAGAGTACTCTAGCTCTCTCTGCCATGCTGTCCCTGTCATCCGTAGAGGTTTCGCTGCATACACTGTGCCATACTGTGCCTCTGGATCAACTTCGAAGATCTCACCCTGCGAGGATTTCAGCTTGAGCTTGTCCTCTGCCATGGCCTAAGAAACGGCGGGGACCTTGACCTTGACCTGCCATTTTCTGAGCCGGCCTGTGGCCTGTGAGGTCCCAGCGTTGGAATGTCCAAACTCACAAACGCCCCACACGAAATACTTGTGAGGCCAAGACACTGCTAGCAAAGACAAAAGCTGCGAGTGCATGCGAGTCGAACACGAGCATGACGTGCAAAATGCACTCCTAAAGCACCGACCTAAACCCACCGGCCAGGAAGCTAGGAAGCCTTGAAGCCTGCAGATCAGCAGGGCTTTACGCTCTCACAACTCGGACAAGCCAGGCGAGGTCTCACGCTGCGAAGTCGGCGTGAAAACAGAACAGAGAATCTATTCGTCCTCGTCAGCAGAGCGATCGTGAAACACGGCAAAGAGCCATTCCTCATCTTTCTTCCCATCACCAGGGTTCACAGGGTTCACACGCTTGGTATTCCAGAAGCGGCATCTGCACCACAGAAAACTCCAAATGCTGCCCCGCACAAAGCGGATGAGCCGCGCCCGTTCGCGCGCCGCCAACGCCGAGGCTTGCTTAGAGTACTTGGTGTATAGTTGGCGCTCAAGATACCGGTGAAGAGGTTCATCTGCACGATGGTCATGCCAAATGCCACGAAGTAGAAGAAGAGGTGGACGAAGGGATGGTCCTCCCGGCTGTGGATCTTCGGGCTCCAGGACCCCGGCGGTCTCGCCGGGAACGAAGATGATCAACGAATTCCAGCTCGTAGAGATCTAAGTCGCCGAGGAAACCCAAGCGGAAAGTCTTCTCGAATGCCCGGTAGATGCCCGGCGGCATGTTCAGAATACTCAAGACAAAGTAGCTTGCACAGTGGCGGCAAAGGTGAACGACACCACAATCAGGAAGGTGCCGGTGGCCCTCATCGCCCAAAGTATCGGCAGCAGCTTCTCGCTGAATCCCGCGACATCTCAGCCAGTAGAGTGCAGAGAGCCAGACCAGCATGAAGTAGAAGGCGATAAGCGATCGCCGGATCGGCCGAGCGTTGAACTCTGCGGGTGCCGCACGCTGCGTACATCACCACGAAGGAAAGCTTTTTTATTCCAGCGATTCGCGAAGCTTTGCGTCCAGTAATTGACGGAAGTCCATTTTTCAAGGTGGGTTACGTCAGCAGCCAGCATCTGCTCAGCATCCTTCACGAAATTGTCCAAGACAGTCTTCCAGTCAGCTGAGTTCTTGAGGATCTGTGTGATGATCTCAACTTCTCGGCCTTCCAGCAACTGCGTACAACATCCATGCATAGTTCACCAAGAACTTTTGATTCTCTTCGCTCTTGTTTGACTTCCAGTAGTCCGGGAATCCGCCAGCGCTCTTCTTCTCCTCCTCCATTGCCTCCAAAAGGAGTTGGAAGCACCTCAAATCTCCATTGTCACAAGCCAGTTGGATAGCCGAGCGGCCTCGTTCATTTTCAAAAGTGGTGGTCTTCCATTCCTTGTTCTGGCCCTCAATAAGCTTCTGCTGCCTTGCGGTGTCGAGGATGCCTTGCACAGCTTCTGCATTTCCCAGACGGGCAGCGTGGTGCAGTGGCGTCAAGCCGTGCCAGAGGATGGACGGATTGGCCCGGTTTTCCAGCAGGACCTTGATCACCTCTGGCCGCTGGTGCCAAATTGCTACATGCAGCGAAGTGCTCTTCAACGTCTTTTTCCCATCTCTTTCCTTCGCATTCCCGTACGTTTATGTCCGCCTCCAGCTTGAAGAGTTTCCGCACAAGCGCTGCATTTCCGTAGAAGGTCGCGACATGGAGGGCGTGGACTCGCTTCAAGACTCGGATCCTGTGATGTTGTTCTTCATCTACGCCCCACCAGTCGTCAGCGTCGGGCCTCATCCGGACAGCATTGCATCTAAGGTGCTTAATTGCTCCGCATTGAGACTTTTCATCGCGCAATACTGATGGAGCAACGACGTGGACTTGAATTGCGCGGCCTTGTATTCGAACTCCTCCCCCTCGGCCACAGTCTCAGTCAGGGTGGGAGCTTGGCAACCAGGTGTCGTTCTTCAACTTGTCATAGGCCTGCCTGAGCTCATCGCATTGCTCCTGGATGTTTATAATCGCGCCTGTCGAAGCACCGCGATCGCATCCTGGTTGGGGTCGTGGCTGGGCCAATCTGCCTCATCAGCAGCCTGAGGTGCAGGTTGATGAGCGGAGGTGTCGCCCAGCGGCATCGGCGGAGGATAGAACGGCTGCCCGCTGTCGGCCATGGCTTGGCCGATATTTGACTTTGATGCAGAGCGCGAGGTATATGAAAACTTAATATAGGGCCCTTAGGAATTAGAATAGGGTTTTGGGGTATTTAGGCAACTTGATGCTAACTTGAGCCATAGGGGTGGCAGCACGGTCTTCCAGCCCTGCGACCCCTGCAGATCTGGAACCGCTCTTGCCTTTTTTGAGTCTCGCCTATTTCTGACTCCGGAGGTACTCAGTGAAAACTTGCTGGAGCTTCTCTGGAATGCGCCAAACGTCTGCCGCCGCGAACCTCCGGTCTGGGGCATGATGTAAGGCTATCAAGGCACGAACTCTTCCAAGGTGCCAGTTGTCGGCCCAGTCCAGGTACTGAGATCGCCTCCGCGCACGTCATAGTGGGCCTCTAAGCTACCTGCGCCCTTGCTGTCGTCATCGCTGCCGAAGTCTGAGTTCCGAACAAGTCCCAGTGAGTTCTCTCCTCTTCCTGGAAATCTGCGCGGAACAGGATTGGAAGGGCAAACTGCCGAGAACAGTCCTTCGGCAGAGGATGGAGAACGAGCCCAGGATTGACAACGGCTGCTGTCCAGCTAAGACCTCAAACGTCGACCGACCCAAAGAAGCAACGTGTCCTTGATTGGACACACGCTCTGCGGCTTACTCTTTTGCAGTAGGCTGCATTGGCGGTCAGTTAGCTGCCTGGGCTGTTGCCCTGCTCTATTGCAGGGCATGCCTTCCGAAAAATAAGGGCAACGGAAGTTCGAAGAGTGCCGAGTTCTCGTACCAAGGATGCGGTGCCGTCTCTCAAGGGAAGTCTACCAAGGCTCAGACAGAGTCCAACGATGGGACGGAACTTCCATGCCAGGCTGCTCACACCAGCTTCGCTCCAGCTTGTGGTCAAGCGAAGCAAGTGAGCTTTGTAGCTGCGCTGCGGCTCTTCAGCTACAGACGTCTCGAAGAACCCGCGCACGTCCCCGTGGCTCCAGAATTGCAGTGTCCGTGCCGCTTGAATGTCTGAACTGGTGGACACTCTGAGAACAGCACTGCAAGGTTCTCCGAGGAGTTGAATTGCGTGCAATCGCACAGACAAGTGTGCGCGGCTCATCACCGTCGTCATCGCAGTGAAAAGATACATAGCATTTCAGATTCCAGCTGCTTGCAGATCATTTGCTGGCAAGCAAGGTAATCGACACACACACACACAGAGAGACACACACACACACACTCACACACACACACAATAAAGCTCAGCCCTTGCCCGTAGAGAACTTTCCATGCCCGTAGAGAACTTTCTGTGATTGTCGAAACCGCTCTCGAGCTGACATCTGAAACTGTTGCGACTCTTGCGCGTGAGCTCGGTCGCATTGAGCTACGGACGGAGCCCAAGTCTCCTCCGCCAAAGCTAGGAATGTTGAAAGATCCGCATCGTTCCAGTAGGGCCACAACTCTCCGATGGGCACCATCTTCGAGCACTCGGCTCGAATCGAATTTCATGCCTTGCTCTGACGGCACAAGTCCAACATCTTGTGCCAAGCATTAGACTGGAGAAACGAATGTTCTGGCAACGGCACTGCGATTCCGCTCACGTATATCTTTGCCGCATGTTTGCACACGGGATCTGTAGTGAGGTCTAGTCTAGTGACGGGTCAAGCGTTCGAGTTGCACTGCCATCACCCATGTTCAGGCTTCACAAGCTGGAACTTGCTTCTGCAATTTCTGCATGCTTCGGCTGATTCACCACCTGCCAACGAATTCTGAGAGCAATCCTACAGCAGTTGGATCAATGCTACCAAGCCCAGAGCCCCTCGCCTTGGCTGCCCTTGAGGCCAGCTTCAGTGCTGCAGCTGTCTCATCGATGTTTGATCTGGCCGGCGAGCAACACACCTCAGTCTCAAGATGCTTCCTGGCCCAAAAGCGCACGGGAATACCCAGCGTCTGACATACATCAGGACCTTTGCACTGCCACCCACTGCATCCTGTCGCATCTCATTATTGACCCACAGACAGGTCCCTGTATCTCAATTGCATCACGTCGTCAGCAGCTCCTGTAGCAGCCGCGTGAGCTTGTGATCCCTTCCGGCAGCAAGCAACCGGAGCTCAAACACAACACGCATCGAGCTTTTGTGTCTGCAAGCCTGTATGGAACATGCCGCCGCCGGCCAGCCACAGCCTGGCAGCCAGTTCCAGCTAGAAGCCGCCGCAGTTCGTGGACAGTTGAAAGCAAGACTCTTTTCTGAAAGGACATGCAGCACATTACAGCACATACGCATGTTAAACTGCCTCAATGACGCCACTTAGTGCACTGAGCGACTTGTTGATCTCAATGGCCTGTCGGCGCATCACACTGGATATTGAAACGTAATGAACTCGCAAAATGTATCCTGTCAGAGGCTGCATTGAGTTGGACCTCTTTCTGCAATTCCCCAGCAACTTGAGTTCGCTTGATCCTGAACATGCACGAGAAGTTTGTGAACTGCAACTTATCGGCCAATTGCATGCATCAGGGTGCCTTTCACAGCCGCCGAGGTCGCAAAACGTAAGCTTTCTCGTTGAAGCCTTCTTTGAGCCACCTGAAGCAGCAGCTTTCCAGCGCAACGTCGCATGCTCTACTGCTTCTTGCTGTTGGCCTTCGGTTTGCAGCCTGACTGTGAAGATCATGTGCGAGCCTGGTGCCACGAGGTAACTGGAAGTGCAGACTGTGGCAGTGGCAACTCAGCACCGACGATCAAGCAGTGTGTGGCCAAGTATGCTGCGAGAGCTATCTGCGTTCAGGGCATGCTCTGCCACAACGCGCCTGAGTTACAAAGCACAATTTATAATGTCAAAACCGCAGGGGCTAGGCAGTTCGTGCCAGGCTTCAGACTGTGCCAGACCCTTCTGCAGGATTTCCAGTAAATCATCGCCAGTCTGCGCCGCGTCCTGCACCTTAAGAAGCGCGATCTGGAAGATTCTTCAAAGATAACAGGTCAGGACGAACTGGAAACATCTGGAAACGAGCGAGGTCGATGCAAGCCCGTCCACTTCGACGAAGCCTTGTGCATCAACACCTCGCTGTTGGACTTATCTTCGGTAATCATGGTCACTGTGACGATAGAGCAGGCGGCCGCAGATAAAATTGGTGCCAGCCCAAGGGATGATTCAAACATGACGCCCCTGAACAACGAATGCAGCATGCTTCGCTACCGCCGTATTCGCTGCTACTGTCTCAGCTGCTTCCCACTCCACAAGTGTCAGCTGACAAGTCACCGTTCCCGCTGTCACCTGGGCGCCAGGCACACCTTGACACCGGGAGATTGCCGTCCTCGCAGTCGCTGGGTTCCAACCAGAGCTCAGACCATTCCCTTTTCCCTAAGTGTCATGACAGCGCATTAGCCGCAGCAAAGCACGTGAGCCTGTTCGGTCGACGGGGCGGAGCAAGTCGATGAAGTGGTTGTTGTACAGCCTTAATACTGAGCAAAACCAAAGCAGCCCCTTGGTGTTCAAACGTGTTGCTCCCTTTCTCACCCTTATAAACTTCGCGCAATCTATACAGTACCGGATAATTGCCTCCGTCCGGAGCGCGCCTCTGGGTTTCACATTCCTACTCTTTCGTTGCCCCACCTGGCTTCCTACGGCAATGTTACACTGTTTCCCGGTGAAGTTGCAGTTCAAGGGCAACGTCACCTTCCACCTTAAAGAGTACCCATTCGCCTCAACACTCAACACCATCCTTCATTCTCTCATGCTCTGAGCTCAGGACTCCAAAGCGGAACCGGAAACGCTGACGGTGCACTCCTCACCGCGCTTCGATCACAGCCAGGCCCAAGCTCTCAGTCCCCACATGTCCCCGCTGCCGGCGCTGCGCTGCCTCGTCGTCCTCCTGGTCAGCGAGGCGCGCGAAGACTTCTCCTTAGTGCTTCGAAGCTGCTGCATCTGCCAACTGCGTTAGATCAGAGGCAAGACTCGGATCATATACTGCACCAGCCCCTGCTGGTCCTTGTTCCCAAACCTGCGCTTGGCCGCACATGGACATAGCACTGCCTGTGCGACGCAGCTGAGAGTGGCACAAGGTGTAGGTCTTGCCGGCCCCAGTCTGACCGTAGGTCATGACGGTCACCTGAGCAGAAGCCATGCTTGCGGCCATCTGCCGCAGACAGGGGTGTGTCTGTGGTCACGGCGTTGTGCCCGTCAACTGCGGACTGCACGAGATCGCGGCAATCTTCGAAGATCTCCTTCACACAGGTCAGAGCGTTGATCCCGTAGAACGACTCGAGACTTGCCACCTGCCTAGTTCACCAAGCAGCACTGCATAAGCCACTAGGGAAGATCGGAAGACCCGACAGAAGCTTGCAACCCTCGAGGGCATCCTGCCAGCCGAGACGGTAACGGCCAGCGACACTTCACAGGAATCGCCCCTCTGAAACCGGCAAAGATTACGAAATACTGCACTGGCAGGGCGAAAGAACCAGCCTTTGACAGGCTGGGTTTTGCGTCAGTCCCGATTGCTTCAAGGAGACTCGTGCCATCGGTGAGAACAGCAAGCCGTTAACATGCATGACTTTGATCAGTAAAAATATCCCTCCCAATGCTAACTCCGCACGGCCTCAACAACCTGCTGCGGGACATCCGGCCGGAACACGCTGTCAAACTCGAACCTTTGAAAACAGCTCGAATCTGCAAGCAAAGTCTCGTTTTGTGTGCACAGGAAGACAACTCAGTCTCTGGCACTTGTGCCGGCCCATCTCGCGAGAGAAGTTCTACCCGCGAGCTATCCAGCGGGCGCAGCGCGGGCTCTCCCAACTCGCCTTTCTGGGCCTTCTCTTCTTCACCTTTCAGGCATCAAAAACAGAGCAGGGTCGAAGAAGGACATGCGCAGAAGCGTGCGAGGGCGGCTGAGCGGGCGGATGCGGCAGGACACGCGGAGCTGGCCCTTCAGATCCTGGCGGCCAGGCGCGGGGATTCTCTTATAAGGGATCTCTTCTTAGGGTTATAAGTTATAACTATAACTTACTATAACGGCCAAAAATGCATGCAACAGGCTACCAGAGGTTTCCACAGGCCTGCAGGGCGTTGTGAAGGCGTCTCCTTTGCTGCTCTGCCACAGTGCGCTCCACCCGAGGCAGGTCGACCTGTTGGGATCGGGACTCTCATGTCTCATCGCCGCAACTCCCCTGTGTAGATCCCGGTGTTTTTGGGAGCATTTGCAGGGACGATAGGAATCAGCTTAAGTGTGATTGTGACTGTACCTGAGGATTTGAGACTTCACGTGCGTGAGGGGTGTAAAATGACTGCAGACCCAACCCAAGGCGCAAGGAAAGGGCTCTGACGCGATTCTATGACAGCATTTAGAGCCCTCCGCTGTGAGACCGGGAGACCGAGACAAGGTTAATGGGGTGCAGAAAGGAATGCAGGATCCTTGCCTGGGTCAATCTCACACGGGGACAGAGGAAAACGTGCCATGCTGGTTGGTCGTCGCGTTTCTGAAGTTTGGCCGTGGCAGAATCTTCACAGATTCACCAAGGGGTGCCGTCGCAACATTCGGACTGCTCAAGACAGCATGGACAGCAGAGAGAACTGGTTGGGGTTCAAGTCGAAACGGAAAGCCTCCGAAAAAACCC